ACTAAACCAGAACGAACCATTACCACCTGACGGTCCTTTTAAATTTATACATCCACCAGCAGATTTGACAGTTTATAGAAACGTGTTTGACCCTCAAAATGTTATGTGTCATGCAAGTTTCAGTTCAAGCAACAATAGTTTTCTATGTATTGGTAAGGACTTTTATGACTTTGCTTCTAAATTCTACGAACCACCTAGTAACAGTTTCTCTGACTTTCAAGTTTGGTTCACAACAAACGGTGTGCAGCATATTATACCATTGTACTATGACTTTTATCTCGAATTGTCTTTCATATATAACTACGGAAAAGTGCTGAAAAAGTATTGAATGTGAAGATATTAGAAAATAACATTTTTTTCTAACATCGTAGAAAACTCATGAAAACAATTTATTTTTGTGAATATGTAAGCGGCTCATAGCTCAGTGGTATGGGCTACCTCGTTAAAGGCGTCGAAGACCTCGGTTCAAATCCCGATTCGCGCAGGTTTTTTCCTTTTATGCAGTGAAATTTCATGTACATAGGTTACTTTGGTGTTAGACCCTAGTGAAGAAAATAGAACGATATAAGTTTACATTTGTAAAGTTGGACGATAAAAATCTCTGCTACTGTCAGTAAAAGTACTGCTACTGTCAGTAAAAGTACTGCTAGGAGCAGTAAAAGTACTGCTACGAGCAGTAAAAAGGAAAATTTGAGAGGGTTTTCGACGATAAAGTACTGCTACTGTCAGTAAAAGTACTGCTACTGTCAGTAAAAGTACTGCTACTGTCAGTAAAAGTACTGCTACTGTCAGTAAAAGTACTGCTACTGTCAGAAAAAGTACTGCTACTGTCAGTAAAAGTACTGCTACTGTCAGTAGCAGTACTGCTAGTTGCAGAGATTTTTATCGTTGTGGTCCGACGGTTAAGCCACAAACGAATGTCCGACGTCCCACCAAAAAATATTTTTTTATTTTTATTGTAAGAACAGTATGACAGTCGAAGCAAAAACGTTCACGAACAAATCTAATGGCGAAACATTCACAAAAGGCACCTATAACGGTATTGAAGTCTTACGTAGAGACAAGGATGGTTATGTAAATGCAACAAATATGTGTCAGCAGTTTAGGAAAGACTTTAGAAGGTTGTTGGAAAATAAGTCCTGGGAAGAGTATTTTAAGGCATTTTGTGAAGAATATACCAACCCGCGGAAAACAGCGGGTTGCTTTTTATACAAAATTCATGCAGGAATTCCTGATGAAATCAAACAGGTTAGAGGAATGTATGTAGACCCAAGACTTGTAAACTATATAGCAATGTGGGCTTCTCCAAAATATTGCATAGCAGTTGGAAAAATTCTGGACTCCATAGACAAGAAAGTTCATGAGAAATTAGATGAAGAAGAACTTGAAGATACAGTAGAGAATGCAAAACCTTTGTTCGAACAAGAAGTTAGAAAAAATGTGCTTAAACAAATAGAACATGAACGTGAGATATGTTCTGGTTATAGAGACTCGCCATACGAACTAGACCAATGGGAACAAGAAGATTTAAAGAGAGAATTTAGAGAATATGAACTCGCTAAGATAGCATTAGAAGCTGCAGAAAAGAAGTTAAAAGCTTGGGGTTGTTTTGTACAAAAATATTGTGAGTAAATGAACCATTTATTTTTATTGAATTCAGCAAAAATAAAGTTTATGTTAGAATGTTAGATCTAACACGTTTTCTAACACGTTTTCTAACATCGTAGAAAACTCATGAAAACAATTTATTTTTGACCTAAAGACGCAAAGCGGTGGGACATAGCCCAAAAAATAAAGTTTATGTTAGAATGTTAGATCTAACACGTTTTCTAACACGTTTTCTAACATCGTAGAAAACTCATGAAAATCATGAAATTTACACCAAAAATAAAGTTTATGTTAGAATGTTAGATCTAACACGTTTTCTAACACGTTTTCTAACATCGTAGAAAACTCTTGAATTTTCATGAATGGCTCGATGTTGTCCATTGTTCTGTTTCAGAACAATATTTGTACTGTTTCAGAACAATATTTGTACTGTTTCAGAACAATGTCCGACGTACCACCAAAAAATAAAGTTTATGTTAGCATGTTAGATCTAACACGTTTTCTCACCTCTTTTCTCACCCGTTGAATTTTCATGAATTTCCTTAAGATAGAAAAAATAAAGTTAGTTTTTTTAAAAAAATATTTTTTATTTTTATTGTAAGAACATGTTAGCAACAACTTCACCAAACTCGTTAGTTATGAATCCTACGTCAATGTTGGTAGAGATGAAAAGCTTCATTCCTTCTTCATATACTTTTGAAACAAAAATCCAGAAGATAAAGCAAGAACTTTTAACATCTAATTTAAACTGTAGTGCGAAAGATGAAACAAATGAACAGTATCTTTATGAAATGCAGGACATTATTGACCATTTACCCAAATTGCCTGAAATCCAACAACAAAAACTAACCATTCCCGAATTTGACGAAATAGAAGTCAAAGCAACTGACTCAGTAGAAATAAAGAAGTTCATACGAAAGGTAAATTATGAATTCCTTGGTTTTCATTGCAACCATAAGGTTATGGACAAAGATTGCGACATGGTATATAAGAACATCTCTGACCTTTACAAATCCGAAGAATTTAAGACCTACGACAACTTTGTTTCATTAGTTGCAAAATGTGTTTGGGAAATAAGAGATAAAGATAGTAGGGGTAAGGTATGGAACGAACAAATAAGACCCGCTATGTTCGAGATGAAGAAAACCATTGACGCCTTAGTTGTTTTAGCAGGTAAGGTTTCAGAATATAACGCTAAAATGAACCCGCAATGTTCAAAATGTAAAGCAGCAATGAGGAAATATAACTACTCCGTCAAAGAGATAGAACGTATGCGAAACGACTATGCAGATTTAAAGAAAGAAGCAGAAAAACCAGCAGAAGATAAAATGGACATGTTAGCATTTCTGAACAAAAACTATCCAACAGCAGAAGATTTCCTTCTATCTGACGTCAAGAAGAAGTATAAAGAAACTTTCGGTATCGTTAAAACTTTTGACATACTGACAGAAGAAATAGAAGCTACAAAATTGTTTAGAGTCATGAACCATCGCAACATATACCATGTAAAACGCTTGTAAATAGTTATGTTAGAAAACGTGTTAGAAAACATGTTAGATCTAACATTCTAACATAAACATTATTTTTGCTGAATTCCGTATGAAATTTCATGAATTTTGTATGTTTTAGACCATGTTAGAAAACATGTTAGAAAACATGTTAGATCTAACATTCTAACATAAACATTATTTTTGCTGAATTCCGTATGAAATTTCATTATATAACTGTTATTTTTTTACGAAGAGAACTTTAACACTTCGTAAAAAAACTCTATGAAATCATGAATTTCCTTAAGATAGAAAAAATAAAGTTAGTTTTATTTTTATTTATTTTTTTATTTTGTATATAAAGACAGATATGTTAAACATTGAGTTTGAAACAGTTAAAAAGATAGACAATGACACCAAAGTGGTTCGAATTGGTGATTTAAACGTAAGATACTCAAAGAAATACAACAAATATTCTTTGTCAGACATTATATCTCCATCTGGAAAGAAAACATACCATTGGGTTAAAAATGCTTCTACTCAGAAAATTTTGACAAGAAATCCTGAGCTTATGATATCGGTAAGATTCTATGGAACTACAGCATATCTTATAGACAAAAGTCTTATACCAATAGTTTTGTTATGGATTGACCCAGTTGTTGGATATAACTTCATAACATATGGTTCATTCGATACTGAACGTTGCAGTGAAGGCTTACTTTACATCGTTCAGAAACCGAAGGACTTCAATACAAAGAGATATAAGATAGGAAGAACATATAATATAAGTAGTAGATATGACAGTATAGTCAATAGAGTCAAGGTTGTGTTTGTTAACGATATGAGAGCTGCTGAAACAGAACTACTTGAAAAGTTTGAGAAAATGTATGGTGCTCCCACGAAAGGTAAAGAAACGTTTGAAGTAGATGAGATAGATAAAGCTATAAAATTATTTGACGAAGTTGCTGAAAAATACATGTAAAGCGTTTATTTTTGGTCTTTTGTGAAAGATAGAAAAAATAAAGTTAGTTTTATTTTTATTTATTTTTTTATTTTGTATGTAAGGACAGAAATGTCAACATCAGAGAACACAACAACTGCTATCGTTCATGAAGCCATAAGTGAAGAATACGAGTGGGTTCAGTTAAACAAACAGTTACGTCTCATTCGTTCGGTCAAAGACGATATGTACCAAATGCAAAGTATTTTGACAGCATGTGCTACACCAGATACTAAGAAACCACAAGACTGGTTTGAATTAAATAGCACTCATGAACTCCTCAGTGAGTTTGAACATGTAGAACTTAAAAAGATGTACCAAGACAGACAAAACTTACCATCACATCTAAAAGGTATATATGTTCATAAGTTCCTAGTTAGTTCAATAGCAATGTGGGCTTCGCCTCGCTATGCATGGTATGTTTGTAAACTTCTTGACGAACTTTGTACAAAGCAGAGAGAAGATATGATGAAAGAAGACAAAAACATACAGAAAAGAATACCACGTTCGGTACCAAAAGGAAAGGAAAAGAACTATAAGTATATGATTTATACTGAAGAGATGGAAAATGAAGAAGACAGAGATATGGTTATGTTGCATTTAGTCAGAAGAAACAACAAAAGCTTTTACGACCTTGCTAAGATTTACAAATCTGACAGAAATTGGTTCTATCGCGAAAACTTACCGATTTCAATGACCCCAAATGAAGATGTGAAACAAATAGTTCAAGATACGTTACCTCAAACACACTATGATATTAAAGGTTGTACAATACTTACCTTCAAAGAAGATTTGCCATTGTTAAAGGAAAAAATAACAGAGTATTTTGACAACTTCAAACAAGTAGAGTAGATGAACCATTTATTTTTCAAGCTTGACACCAAAGATGGCTCAGGTAGCTCTAGATGGTAAATTGTCTTGTCAAATCCTTCTGGCATTCCGAGTCCTTCCTTCTGGCATTCCGAGTCCTTCCTTCTGGCATTCCGAGTCCTTCCTTCTGGCATTCCGAGTCCTTCCTTCTGGCATTCCGAGTCCTTCCTTCCGACAAGAAAAAAATTTCCCGACAACTGGAAAAAAATTTCCTGTTGTTCGTCCGTAAACCCTTCAAATTTTCGAAAATTGAGAACTTTTTGGTCGAACTTCAGAAAAAGTTTTTCCTTCCAACAGGAAAAAATTTTCCTTCCAACAGGAAGAACTCTTCCTTCCGACAGGAAAATATTTTCCTTCCGACAGGACACAAACGGATGAGTGACGTACCACCAACCGAGTCCATTCCAAAGCCAGAAGAACCGACAGCCCCAGCACCACAACAGACTAAGACTAAAACTCTTTATTTTTTACGCTTGACTTTTTACAATTTGAACTTTGTTTGCGTAGATATGAATTCTGAAAGAAGTATGAGGGTCTTGTATGACTTTGTACTTCTCCCATAGTTCATGTCTGTCAAACTTACCTGCCATGGACTCTTTCATAAGTTCCATGAAATCGTCTTCGGACAATCCGGGGAAAAGTACAATGTCAGTAAGTATTCTTTTAACATCCTTACTTAAACTCTTTGCTGTCTGTACACAAATGACAACTGAGATGTTAAAGTGTCTGAGCTTCTTAAGAATTCGACACATATCTTGTTCTCTGTTCTTTAACAAAGGATGAGAAGCAAAGTCATCTAAGATAAGAAGACATCTATGAGGGTACGTTTTCCAATCGTAAGATTGCAATTTCTTCGAAATGTATTCTATCTCTTTCTGTTTGTTTCTGAAGTGTTTCTTCTCTAATATTCTCTGCATTTCCTCATTTGGGTCTTTAAACTTCGAATTTATATACTCATTTATAGCATTATACTTCAAAACTCTTCTTTGGTACTTCTTTATCCAATCTAACAACTCAGTATCCTTTATACATACTAACTTAGACTTCTTTATAATATCTTTGAACGAATTGACGGTTTGGTCAAATTGACCAGAAGTACTACAAATGACAACTAACTCATAGAATGGGTTCTTCTCATCTAGTTCTTGTTGTTGTGCAGCCATTTTAAGATAAGTGAAAGTCTTACCAGACCCAGGTGGTGCAATTAGACCTGTTATACCATTCTGAGCAAATAAGAACTTGTCATGTATAGGCTTTATCTGAGCATTTTCTAACTTCCTCTTGTTCTTGTTTAAAACATTCTCAAATTTTTTGTCAATGTCAGCAAACTTTTTTTCTAACATATTTTTAGAAAAATTAAAATTTTTATCTTTTTGAAAATGTCTAGCGATTTCGCTATCTATATTCGAGACAAACTTTTCGACAGCAAAACATCTGTCGACCAAAAATCTTACATAGTGTAAACAAGAAAGGTGAATTTGTTCTAAAGTTCTGTTTCTGGGAATATGACAAGAACCATAAAACATTAAGCAGAGCAGTCTTAAAATTTGTCAATGACAGACTTGTTGACAGAGATGACACCGATTGGAAAGATGAAGTCCAACAAAAGTTCTTAGAATGCAAAGAAGACACATGCGCTGTTCTTGAAAATGAAATAGAAAACAGAATAGAAGAGCTATTAAAGGACAAAGAACTTTTACATAAATATGGTTCTGAGAAATTTGACATAACTCCACCAGAAAAGAAGAAGAAGAGAGAAAAGAAAGAAAAGAAAGAAAAGAAAGTAGAAGAGAAGAAAGAACCTGAACCAGTTCCAGAGAAGGTGAGATATGACATGTAAAAATAAAATTTTATTTTTAGAACATTTCTGGGTCAATGTCAATGTTCTCTTCCTCTTTAGGGGCAAACACTGGCTTAGACTCTAAAATCTTTTTACCCAATTTACCTTGAACTTCAACTATCTTAGACTCATAATATTCATAGTCGTCTGCTTTCTTTGGTTCATAAGGTATAACAAGTTTGTATGCTTTACCTTCTTTAAGGTTTGAGAACCTTCTGTCAAAATTTTCTTTGACTGCTAACAAACCTTCTATGTCTAAGTCTTCAAAAGTTGCACCACTTTTTCTAACAACAGCAAACTTAACTGGTGCAATGTTCCAAATTTTGTCAAATGTAGACTTTTCAAAATTGTAGAAGTAAACATTCAAATATGCGAATGGAGCTAACTTATCTTTGACTTCTGTCATGTACTTATTTACTGAGATGAATTTTGCCATCTTTTCTATCGGATAAAAAAAGATTTTTTTTTAAATTTACTCAGAAAAATTATTTCTTTCTATATACACCATTCCGAACTTTGAAAAGATGTTTTATACCAGCATAGAATTTTTCTCTAGAGCTTGGTCTTATATCGTTTTCATAACAATATTTTCTATATTCTTCATATAAAGCCTTTTTTTCATACATTTCATAAGGACAATCTAACCAAAATAGCGCATATCTATTTTCGTTATCTAGGTCTCTATATGTTTCTTCTGTTTGTAGAATTTCGCTTTCTCTATTTAGTTCTATGTCTATATATTGTGGCTTAAAAAGATGTGGGCAAGAAGGGTCTGGCGCTATGTAAAAAGTTAATTTTTCTGTCATCTTTTCTATCGGATAAAAAAAGATTTTTTTTTAAATTTACTCAGAAAAATTTTTCTTTGTATATACGCCGTTCTGAACATCTAAAAGATTTTTGACATTTGCCAAGAATGTACGTTTAGACGCTGTCATATAACCATATTCTTGACAATATTGTTTATACGAATCGTACAATGACCTTTCATCTAAACACTCAAAGTTAGTCTCATCTATAAACAGTTCATATACACTCTTGTTTGCTTCTAACAATGTTTGTCTTTCTTCGGTATGTGGAATTTGTCTTGGATTGAACTTAGAAATATCTAATGTCATGAAATATGAGAACAAGTGGTTGTAAAAGTCAGATGTCAAAGTTTCTGCTAAGTCGTCAAAATATTCTGTATCTTGCATATGAGAATCTGACGTTCTGACAACTACATATCTTCTGTCAGAACTTTCTAACTTCATCGGAACAACATTGTTTGAAACCATAATGAAGTTTGCAACATTTTCACAAACTCTTTGGTCTTTATACTTTCTTTCAACAACTCCAACTTTGTCTGTTATAAGACTCTTCAAAGCATCTGAGTTCAAAACTTTTGTTGTATCTATACTTTGAAGTTCGTTACATACTATAAGTTTCATATTCTCAATTGAAGAGTTAAATTTACCGCAGATGTTTTCTAAGTTTGTCATATTAGGGTTCGAATAACCTTCTAATAGTTTGCATAAGATATCTGTAAAGAATGTGTTCTTACCAGTTCCTTGTTTTCCAATTATAATGAGAGCAGTTTCATTTTTAGCACTTGGATGTTGTAAGATGTTTGCAAACCAACATAAGATATACTCATAGACTCTTTCGTTTCCATTGCATATAATTTCTTTGACATGGTCTAACCAAGCTTCTATAATATTTTCTTTCCATTCTACTTGTTCATATTTATATCCAGTGAAGATAGAATAGAAGTTTGGAGAAGGTGTATAGAACTTTATACCTCGAACTGAAAAATCTTCTAACTTTGACAATAAGATATCCCAAGCATCTAACATCTTCATGCCAACTTGTACGACTTTTATTTTCTTAAGTTTCTGTCTACATTCTTGTTCTGAAACTATTGTTGCTCTTGGTTTGTTAAAGACAACATCCCATTCTTTCATGACATAACATTCTGGGGCAGAGTCAACATAAATGACTAAACGTTTCAAATTCTCGACTGCTTTGTTATAGTCTCTAAATGGACACATATTTCTGAATGCTTGGAAGTCATAAAAATCTGAAACATCTATTCTGTACATTTTTATAAAAATAAAAAAAATATTTTTTTTTATTCTTGACTTTGTTGTTCCATTTGTTGCATTTGTTGTTCTTGAGCTATTTGTTGTTGAAGTTGTTCTTGTAATACAATACTTTCACCGGTTGCATCTTCCAATTCGAAACTTTCTGCCGTCATTGACAAATACATAGGACATAAAAGTTTTACAGGAACAAAGTTTGCGTCAACTAATGTCAACGTTATACTTGCCAAAGTGTTTGAGTTCACTAAGGTTGAAAATTCTGCATTCGAATGAACAATAGGCAAACCAGCAGAGAAAGTGTTGTTTATACGCATAAGTATCTTTTGGTCATAATAGTTTCTGTCGACATTCGAATAACACTTTGAACCTAAGTTTGAAACAATATATAAGATTGGTGTGCTTAATGTCAATGGAATAGACATTCCTTGTATGACACCTTTTCCTGTTATAGGAAACTGTTGGTAGTAAAAACCAGAAATAAGTTTTGTATTATAGCTCATATTGTTTATAGTAAACTCAGTCGGACATCCAAACATAATGAAACCTGCTCTAGTTGCAGCACATGTTACACCTGTACTTAAAGTATTAAATAAGTCAACAAAACCTGTTGGTGGTATATCTGAGTAAGTATCTTCAAAGGAGTATTTTTTACCATTCACAACAATAAAGTCTTCTGGTGTCAAAAGAGCAAAACAGGCTTTAGTCGTCATTGTGTTTAAGGTTAGTTTACAATATCGTCCTTGAGGACTTTGTAAGTTTGTTGTTATAGAATTATATGACTCAGGGTTTTTAGTCGTAATAGTATAAACCACTATATCTTCTGCCATTTACTTAGCAAATAAATTTTAATGAAATGTTGTGGTCGTCAAATATTTTTATAACGTCTGGGAAACTATATTTTAAGTTCAACGTTTCACCTCCTTTCATAACGTATATCTTGTCAATGACATTATATGAAACACCACAGCAACTAACGTCGGGTTCTATTTCTTTGATGTTTATATCGTCTGCCTCTGTCAAAAGTTTCAATAGTTCTTTCAAAACTTCATGAGGTGCAATGACATATGAGTTCACTTTTACAGGGTTGTGCTCAACCAAGTTTAACATTATACCTAAAGCTTGACAAATCTTCTCCTGAGTTTGAAGTTTGTCTTTCAGTTGTTGGTAGTCGTTTCGAATATCTGCAACAGAACTTAAGTCTCTGCTAACTTCAGGATATGTTGGTTCTTTTACAGGAACTATTGTTATACCATCTTTGTCTTCGTATGGTTTCCCCATTTCAACATCTCTTTCTTTGACATTGACAACAACACTTTGACTGTTTGTTTGAGTTGGTGAATTTAACCTCACGTCTGCCACCGCCATTAAACCTTTTGAAACACTTACGCTTCTATTTTTCGGAAATGACATTTTACTTAGAATAAAAAGATGGACGTATTTGAGTATCTCTTCGAATTGAAGCAAAACAAAGTTTACACACACAAACAATACAAATACATTGACAGAATAGTTCTTTACACAAACAATGGAAAATGTTATAGAATAGCAATATTTGCTGAACCAAAATATTTTCATAAAGCAAAGAAAGTTGGTATAACTGAAATGGTGAAAGTTCTTGAAGCAGACAAAAATATAACTTCAAAACTTACAGATATTTCTAAAGGTAAGTTTATCTTACAATATTATGTCAAAACTGGCGTACTGTCAATATTTGACGGAGAGAAGTCAGTTCAAGAACAACTTACTGACCTGCTGCCAAAATCTGCTCGATGGAAGCTGTCGTTATACCAATCTGAGGAGCCCCAGCAGGTTTCATCGAACGAATCTTCAAAAGAGCATCTTCCGTGAAAAGTGCTATTGGTTTTGTAAACTTCTTTGCTTTCAGTTCATCTGGACCGTCTCTGTCACCAGTATATTGTATTTGTACAGTACCAACAGTTGAAATACCACCCATAAAGTCTTCTGAGTCAGCAAATGGAATGCCAAGCCAAAAGTTTGAACGGTCTCCATTTGTATATTGAGTTTTTTGACCTCCTGTATGAGTCCATACTTTCACATATGGCATAATAGAACTTTGCATTTCAGGGTTAATGGTTGTTGTGAAGTTGTTGTTAAAGTTCATAGCATCTAATGTCAAGTTGTATGACCTCATATCCTCAACTGTAGAATATTCTTCTCTTGGATAGTATTTGCCATCTATGTTTATATGGTATTTAATACCAGGGTTGTAGAAACAAGAATAGTCATTTATAGTTCGTCTGAAAAGAACAAACAGAGTATCTGCATGTTTCATTGCAGTTGTTAAGGCAATATCTGTTCTTGCACCTGGGTCAGCACTTTGGTTTCCAACTTCACCTGCAAAGTCTTTGACAGATATTTGGTGTATAGGGAACATAAGTGGAACTGCAATATATTTGGCAGCTAAAGCATTTGAAATATCTGGGTCCAACATATAGACTGCAAGTCTGCTTTCTATTCTCTTGCATTCAAACTTTTCGCATGTGAACTTAACTGGGTCCCAAGCAGTTCCAGCAGCATTGAAATAATAGTTTACTTCAGTGTTGAAGTTTGAGAACCAAAGTCTAAGTCAACTTTGTCTTTGCAAAAGTCACAGAACTTTGGCTCCACCAGTTCCAGCTACAGTAATAGTGAATGGGTCTTGTGTTGGTGCAATGACTAAGTTTTTTGCTTGGAGTAAGTTCAATAGAAATTTTTCCTGCCCAGTTTGGCAAGTATCTTAAAAACCTGAAGATGAGGAAAGATGACAAAGGAACTCTAAGTTTCAATTTTACTTTAGTGACAGCATTTCCATCTGAACCAGAAAGGTTAACATAAACTCCTGGAACGTTAGGGTCAAGTCTTCTTATTTTCTCAATAGTTGCATATTGGTCTGTTTGTTCTCTAGCTTGTGGTTGTACTGAGTTTCTCAAAGCGAACCATTCATAGTTGCCCATGTTACTTTGAACTAAGTCAGAGTTAGAATATATCTTATATCCCATGAAAACTTCTGGAGCATATTGGTATCCGACATAGAAAATTCCATTGCAACCTTTCTTGTCAGACAACTGGCAGAAGGTTTTATTTCAATGTCTTGTTCCACGTATAAGAAAAGAGTTGTCAATAAATTATATGAAACCTGTCGCAAGCAATATCTACTGTTGTGAAGAACCTTCTCCAAACTCACCTACGTTTCCATAAGAAACAGCAGTTGTATATTCGTAAGTTCCAGGAACAATTTCTGACCTTCTAATGGCATTGTCGCATTCGTTATACCATTCGGAAAACATTTCCATTCATAGCATCCAAAACTGTTGGCGTTATATTCTGAGCGGCGTACATTTCATATGAGTAAAAATATAGAATAGTTGGATTTATATGTCATAATAGAACCCACGTGGACCAAGCTTTACTTTCTTCCTGACTGAGTTTTTAACTCTTCTTTTTCCTTCATTGCCCTCTGCTTGAAGTTGTGCATCTTTGCATTATGTTCATCTAGTATGTTGCAAATTTCCCATGTCCTTTTTGCCTTTTGGCTCTGGTCGCCCATCTCAGGTAACCTATATCCTAGAAAAGAGTTTGTCATAGTCTGTATTTGAGTCTTCGCGTATTGTTGCATGACTCTTTCCTGAGTTTCCGGTTCAAGCTCTTCAAACAGTGCCTGTCCATATGGAATATGCTCGTTTCCAAATATATGTTTTTGTAGCCATTCTGGTTTTCTTTCCATGTTACCAACTATATCTTTTGTGAATGGGAAAGCTTCTACCCAATCTTTCAGTCTTGCGTCGTTTATTTCTGTAGTTGTTTTATTTTGTCAAGGAACATGTTTTTCAATACTAACATTTCATTTGGTACTGTCCATTGAGTTTTCTTAAATATTCATCCCTTCTCGGTTCATTGTCTGCAAAGTAAGTTTTTATAGACATTTTGTAAACTTTCGTTTGGCAAGGTCATGTACAATAGGTTCTCTTCCTTCTCCCTCCCTAACTTTCTTTCTAAACTCTTCACCAAATATACCATCTCTATGGTTCTGTGTAGTTCTTTGAGATAAATGTTCTAGAACGTCAGGTGTTATATTTCCATCAGCCATGTTCATTTCATACTGGTCCAAAATATCTGCATGTTTCATATCTTTCAATGGCATTAAAGCGCGCTTAAAATACCAGCTATATCTGGTTCACCATTGACTTCCATTGCGTCTACAACTTCTTGGAATTGTGGTTGTAAGTTTATGAACCACCTATCCGGGTTAGCTTTATGACCCCATCTCATTGTAGTTCCATCGTCTGCAGAAACAAAAGTAGGTTTGTTTCCATCTTGGTTAGGTTCTGAATGAACTTTAAACAATGTTTCATTTCTATATGTTTTCTTGAAATTTAACCTTTTATCTTCACCGAGTTCATCCGAAGATTGAACGTTAAATGCTCGTAAGTAAAAAGGGTTGTTGTATTTGTGTACATTTTCTTTCAGTACTTTCATTCTATGCTGAATATTTTCATCTGGTGTTGGAGTCTTTTGTATGTCGGCAAACATTTTTCGATATTCTTCTACTATGTCAGCCGAATCTTTCTTAGACTCTTGGAAAGATTCCATATTCACCTCATGCTCTTGTTGAGGGTCAAGATTTTTCGGCTGTTCCAAATCTTCATCTAGTTCTGTGAAGTTAGTTTCCAAAGGAGTGACTTGTTCGTTTCCTTCAGGCTCTTCTAGCTGTTGTTGCTGAACTATTTCTTCCATGTCTGGTTGTATCTGAACTATTTCTTCCTGTGGAGTTTCTTGTACCTCATCTGCTGGCATTTCATATATTCCGAGACCGTTTTTAACAATTTCCCTATCTACGTCATCCGCATTCATAAGCTTTTGTTCTTTCGTTCCGTCTCTATTTTTTACGCGTTTCATGACGAAAGTTGAATTGTCATTTAGCTCTGACATCAAATATCTCGGAGTAAATTCATCCATGTCATTTGGATGATATGCTATTAAATCATATCCCTTAGCGAGCTTGTATTTTCCAGGTTTGAGATTATATCCGTTTTGGTGCTGAGCCATAAAGCTAAATAGGTTCGGGTCAGTATTTCCATCCTTGAACTTTCCAATAGCTTCTTTATATCTGTCACTAAAGTCAGCAGTATCTGGGAAACCACACTCTTCTTTAAGCATTTTTAAGAATTCTTGGTTTCCTTGTTCTCTACTTCTTTTATGTCCTTGCTCTGTTTGTGGTTGTTGTTGTGCAGGGTTTTGAACTGTTGGTTGCTGTGCTGGTTGTTGTGTTGGTTGTTGTGCTGGTTGTGGAGGTGGTTGTTGTGCTGGTTGTTGTGTTGGTTGTTGTGTTGGTTGTTGTGTTGGTTGTTGTGTTGGTTGTTGTGCTGGTTTTGGTGCATGCCTGTGTCTGTGTCCATGTGACGATGTAAATGTTTTAGGTAGTCCTGGTGCAGGTGCTTCTCTTGGAGGGTTTGGTGGTATATAAGTTCCACCAGCTGGCACATATGTTCCATCTGCAGCGTAATGTCCTACCTGACTTTTCGTTTTTAAGAAAGCATTTACTAGGTCTGTTTTGGTCTGTTGTAACTCTTTTTCTTGACTTTTCACAACAGTTGCTCTAACGGCGTCATAGGCACTTTGAACTGCCTGTCTCGTTGCTGCATCTGTTATTTTCGTCATATTTTGTGCTACTTCTTTTAACTCTTTGTCGAAACCTTCAGACTTCAGTTTCTTTCCAGATGAGAAGTCGTTCACTAGTTTCACCTTACTATGAAGAGCTTCGAAGGCGTTCTTAAAGTCAGCATTCATTAAAGCTTCATTTGAACTGTCTTCATCCGCTTGTATTTTTGTCCTTATTGACCCTATAAGTTGGGCTGCTTTAGCGTTGGCTTGGGCATCTAACCAGTCATTATTAGCTTTTATATATTCTGCGCTTTTCATTGCCTTTTGCATGGCTGCGTCGTTATTTTTACTTTCTTGTGCTAAGTTTTCATACTGTACGGTTTGGTTTTGCAACTGTAAAAGTTTTTCTGCCTTTACATTTGCTTCAACTTCTTTTTTATACTCATCGCTATCCATATATGTCTTCAGGGCTTTTTGTTTTATCTCTTCATCTTTCAGTATTTTATATTGAGTAGTATGGTTTTTCAAATTTATGACATCTTGTTCCATTTTTGCTACTTCTGCTGCTTTTTCTGACACTTTTTTCGCATATTCCTCTTACTTAGTTCTTTCAGTTGTTCTCTTTCTTCTTTCTCTACGTTTAACTCATTTAGTTTCTTTGTGTGTCTGTCATATTCTAGTTTCTTTTCGTTTTCACTTATTTGCTTCTGTATGTCTATGTTTGACTTTTTGACATCTGTTATTTGATTTTTGAGTGAACTCAAATTCATTTGACTTTGAGGGTTATAAGCTGTTCCGTCTGCAGCTCCACCATAGCCTGCCATTTTCGCTAAAAGTGCCGCTCTTAAACCTCCACTCTGTGCACCAAGAACTCGGTTTAAAAGCATAGGATTGCTTGACATTTGTTGCAACATAGTGGGGTCATTCAGCATTTGTTGTTGCAACTGTTGTTGTGGTGTCAGTTTTACTTTTGGATGTTTCAATGCTCCCTTCCTCTTACGTATATTCTTACGTAGCTTACGTGGCATTTTAAGTGAAGTTAAAAAGCGGTTTTTGACAGATGTTTATATGACACTTTCTCCGATTTATAGGACCTCTCTCATATTCTATCTTGTCATGATTTCATCGTAAATGTTTTGTCAAGACTTCTTCGTAAATGTTTTGTCAAGACTTCATCGTAATGAGTGTAAAGGACCAAAAAATAATGTTTATGTTAGAATGTTAGATCTAACATGTTTTCTAACATGTTTTCTAACATGGTCTAAAACTCTTGAATTTTCATGATTTCATCGTATATGTTTTTGTCGAAACTTCTTCTTCGTACATGTTTTGTCAAGACTTCTTCGTAAATGTTTTGTCAAAACTTTCTTGTCTATGTTTTGTCAAACTTCATCGTAAAGACTTTGTTGAGACTTTGTCAAACTTCATCGTAAATGTTTTGTCAAGACTTTCTTGTCTATGTTTTGTCAAGACTTTCTTGTCTAATTTCTCATGAACTTTCTTGTCTATGTTTTGTCAAAACTTTCTTGTCTATGTTTTGTCAAAACTTTATTGTCTATGTTTTGTCGAAACATTTACGATGAAATCATGAAATTCATGAAAATTCAAGAGTTTTAGACCATGTTAGAAAACATGTTAGAAAACATGTTAGATCTAACATTCTAACATAAATTATATTTTTGGGTCCTTTACGCTCATTACGAAGAAGTTTGACAAAAACATTTACGAAGAAATCATGACAAAACATTTACGATGAAATCATGACAAAACATTTACGAAGAAGTTTCGACAAAACATTTACGAAGAAATCATGAGTTTTCTACGATGTTAGAAAACATGTTAGAAAACGTGTTAGATCTAACATGCTAACATAAACATTATTTTTGGTCATTTACGCTCATTACGAAGAAGTCTTGACAAAACATTTACGAAGAAGTCTTGACAAAACATTTACGAAGAAGTCTTGACAAAACATTTACGATGAAATCATGACAAAACATTTACGAAGAAGTCTTGACAAAACATTTACGATGAAATCATGACAAAAAAGTCAACGGCTGGTCGGCTGGGGTTCGGTCCTCCTCTTGGGTCTTGGGAAAAATTCTTAGGGCTAGAAGGCACGAAGTGCCTGGAAGCCCCACTACCTTTTTTTTTTTTTTTTTTTTTTTACTTTAAATAGCATTAGAATATATTAATATATCGGGACATATTTTATGTCCTTCAGATTTTATGACAATTTGGCCAGAAATTTTGAAATAAATTTGATCCCCACATATTCTCGATGGTTCTATGATTAGTAGTTAGATATTTTTAGCCAATTGATTAACCGTTGCCAAAAAACATGTCACTATTATGATTATATTCTCTCTGAAAAAATAACCCGTAAAAACGTACAAATCATAAACAATTATATATTGCATATACAAGCTAATTTCACAGGAAAATTTTGATTTCATCGAACTATCAAAATCAAATTGTAAAAATTCAATTTAACCATCATGAGGCATTCATGAATTTCATTTGCATTTATCAGGTCTATTTAATATTCATTAAATTATTTCAAATTAATATTTCAGATAATTGGAAGATTTATGATCATCGAAAATTTTGGGAGATTTTATATTGCAATTTAGAATCATATGAAACTTTCTAATAATCTTTGGAATCAACGATGATATACTAGAATCAAAATCTCGAGCACAAAAGTGACATTGAATACTAGTAAGTATAGAATTTCCATGTAAACTATTCAATTTTATCGTTTTTTGTAGTCCACATTTCCTCACTCTCGATTTTACTCATAAAAATATTAAAAAAAATCACTATACAATATATAAAATATATATTTATATTATTAAAACCATGTTATTTTTGCGAGATTGCATCTGAAATTAAAATTAGGGATTTTTTGATTTTTGAACTAAAATTTGGGATTGGCAATTATTGAATAATCGATTGGAATATGAAAGAAACAAATTTAAAATTGAATAGAATGCGCCGATAGAGTTTTTCTCACAATTTTAAAAAGTTGCTCAATTCCTATTTTTGATTGAGTTTTTGCAAATGCTATATATCAAGTGACAAAATAAAAATAAAATTTTTGCTGCAATTCTATTTTTGCAACAATTTGTAAATAACGAGCAATCCTTGTATTCCAATAATCAACACTGCGATCACATATTATAAGAAATCCTTTTGAATTAGATTTTTCTTCGAATATTAAACCGGACAGTGTATTTCATGTTGCTTTGCGAGAAGATATATAATTTGCAAAGTGAATAAGATGTACACGATTCTGTATAAATCGGTAATTATTGTTTGGGAAATAACTCGGCATTGTATGAGAGATAATCTTAAGAGATTTTTAGATATGTTGAAATTTATATTATTTAGCTTCATTATCATTTGTTAATGTGTGTCTTTGCTGTTTTCTGATATTGGATATAAAGAACTCTTCTGTGAACGAAAAAAATCTTATAAATCATTTAATTCTAAACGTGCACAAAACTCATTCAATTTATGAAAATCGAATCTTTTTTGATATTGAGCTATTCCATATAAAACTAAAGAATACTTTATATTTTTAGTAAAAAAATGTTGAAAGCAGCTTATTCCCAATACATGTTGATTCAGACGTCAAAAAAAGTATTATAGTCAATCAAAATACAATGTGTCGAATCTTGTTCATTTATTACTATCGGATATTCTGAATTTTCTTTAAGATTAGATATGATTTTCACAATTTTAACCATTGTATGCTTTTTTGAGTGATGTACTGTTGGATCCCAATGTTTGTGTTATATTTGAATGTTACACTCTTCGTAATTCCTATGTCACAATAATTTTTAAATTGTAATAAGGTAGGTTAAAATAATGGCTGCTAAAACTACCGTTCGTAACACTCTCAATTTTGTATCGTTACGGGCGGGAGCGCCTGTGAATTTGCCGATTTCAAAATAAATAAACTTTACATTTGTAAACTGTTTACATTTGTAAACACTTTACAACACGTAAAGTCCTCAAATTTGAGAGTGTTACTGTCAAAATTTCGTGTTACGAGTGATTTTACCTACCTTATAGCCTCATTTAAAAGAGATCGATATATTACTATTTTTGATTTTACTATGCACATACTTGTTATATTCATAATTAAATAATAAGAAAAAACATAATAATATCAATTTTGCAATAACATGTTTTAAGCGTCAATACAACTGCCTAAATATATAATACATCTATCATATAATATAAAATTATGAGTATGTGGTTACAAAATACAATATTATCAAATCAGATTTCATTATGAAATCAATATTTGATATATTCATAATAAATCACATTGTTAATATAATAATCATTATCAAAGAAACAATAAGAAATAAAATATCAACCTTAATGTTAGAGAATTTTCAAATTGTTTCAAATTAAAAATAAGAACTTATTTAACCATATCCTATCGTCCAATATATGGAATCGTGCAATTTATATTCGGATATTTTAGAAAAATATATCAATTTAGTTCATAAATTATTCTTTATATTATTTCAGTATATCATATTGCACAATCATGTTATAATATTGGAATGTAGTTTTGTATTGTATTGTTTGGTTCTAAGTCTTCTCATTTCAAAAAGATTATTCCTTATTTCCTCAAAAAGGCTAAGTAAATCAAAACTTGGATAGCATATACTAAATAATATATAATTGGATAAGCATAATAGCTCAGGACGAAAGAAAAAAAATCAGATAAAAGTATGCATAATATTTTCGGTTCAGTTTATTTTTAAATGAATTGTCATTAAATTTGTAATGCATTTTTTAAACCAAAAAACCAAAATTCCAAGCTTTTACTTTTGAATGGTATTCAAATTTACCCTCTCCTATGAAAATGCCCCAGCAATATTTGAATTGATTTAAATCTAATTAAAGATATTTACAAAATAAATTCACGTCTCAAATTTACCTACCTATTTAAATATATTTAATATAGTTTAGAGTTGAATTTTACGTAATCAAAAAATTAAATTAAACTAAAAGTTAAAATTTGTTGGTAGTTACCTAAGAGCTATATCCGGATTCATGATATAGAGCATTTCACTGTGTTAATTGAGCTGATTTTCAAACTTCAGACAAGATGCTCCAATATGTACAACTTGGGTTGGGAGTTATTCCTTCTAACTCTGCATGTACTAATATTTATCCAAACACTGTAATGAATTTTATTTTCTTGCCTAGATTTTGATTTTATAGACCACCTGTCATAGCATGAAAAAAAATGCCATATATAAAAAGATGCCGCTGATATTAATATTCCCTTTATCAATAATTACACAAGCCAATAGTGTATGAATTGATGCATCCTATATATATCAAAAGCAATGAGCTTGATATTTTGTTGAGATATTTATCTATTATTAAAATAAAATATTGTAAATTTGCTAAATAGAAGCAATAATAGTAATCTAGTAGGTTTCAGGTATATAGCTACTATCATGCCAAATACAACTGTATCAATGGGTGTTAACTTTATTTTAACATATATCTCTTGATTTGCGATGATTTCGCGATGAAAACCATTGAAATATCAATATATTCTTCATTAGTCAAGTACCCTTCAATAAGTTCACATTAAAAACAAATGAATCATGATTTATAGTCGTTTTCGGATCAAATTTTAAGTTTTTATGGTAAAAATTTTTTGGCAAAATTAAAAATTTTGGGAAAAAAAATCAAATTTATTCAATGTCTGATTCAGAAGAAGTGGTATATGTCGAATACGAAGAAGAGGAAATATTAGAAGAAGAAGAGGAAGAGGAAATGAATGATATCTTCAGTGAACACACTATTAATGTAGGATATACTCAGCTCGTTAACTCTGTTGGTACATTGAAGGCCTTTGTACCAACCTGTGAAGCTGATTTATCTCCATATGGATTAATTACTGTCTACATTCCAGCAAATTTACTCCCTCTCTCATTGCAAAGTGTCCTTTGTTTGAATGTTTCACAGCACCTGTTAAAAGTCAGTATAAATTTAGAAGATTATAATTGGAGAAATCGTCCAAAGTTCTTTGAAGTTGAACATCCCGTTTATCATAAGAATTTTGTAGGTATTGCCTTGGTAAGAGAACTTGCCGAAAAATTCTTTACACAAAAATATGAACCCAAATCTGAATACAGGTCAAAAGCTTTTGTTCTTGCATCCAACACCAAATTTCAAGAATCTAAGGTTCAAAAGATTACAAATCATGGTTTCACTAAAGTACAAGCTATTTCAGCATTAAATCAAGTCAATGGAGACACTGATGCTGCAATATATTTACTCCGTACAGGCCTTGTTCCAAAACATTTTTCAGCTTACGGATCCACGAAAGATATATTGATTTCATACAACCAATGTCCTCTCCTTTACTTAGTTCTTGAAATTGTTGACATTTATTTGAATTTGACCGACCATTGCTGCATTTGCATGAAGCCACTCGGTGAACCAACAATCAAGCCAACAGTTTGTGATAATCCTTTATGTATTGTAAAGTATGAAAAAATCGGAATCGGAACAACCGTTGTTCAAGAAATCCGACGCGATCTAGGAGTTGCAGATCTCTTGTTCTCCGTATTTGCATCAACTATTGGCGAATTTCTTCTCCCAGCTCCCAAAGAATTCAACAATACTGAAATGATGAACATTTTCAAGGAACTTCCACCTGTAAATACGTTGGCACAATATCGTTCCGATAACAAACTTTGCGCCTGCATCGGAGTTAAGCCTTTCAATCTCATCAGATGGATTTTATTCACAAATAAAAGCCACTTTATGGCTTTACCACCAGAATTAAGAATTAAAGAAATCAACTGCAAGTATCAATTCCTTACTCTCATTTCAAACTTCGAAAAAGAAGCAATTTTTAAGGAATACAAGAAAAAATTTGGAAGTTTCTACTTATGGCATGGTTCCAGCTCAAACAGATGGTACCCCATTCTCAGAAATGGACTCAAAATTTGTTCTAATGACAATAAATTAATGGCTCATGGTGCTGCCCACGGAAGTGGAATTTATTTAGCAAAATGCATCCAAACATCCCGAGGATATATACGTTCTTCTGCTAATAATTACAAGCGCTCGATGTATGGTGACTTAAACATGATCGCTTTATGTGAAGTTATCAAAGATTTTAAACATCTCACTGAGGTTCAAGACTTTTGCCATGTTTTGAGGGATGAAAGCGAATGCATTGTAAGATTCCTTTTCATTAACGTTCAAACAAGTTCATATGATACACTGAAGCAAAAATTCAGCAAAATCCCATCTATCTACGATGTTTTCAATAGCTATGCTGAAACAACAAAGAAGAAACAAGCTGAGAAAGCGGAAATGGAGAAACAAAAAGCACTTGAAATGGAAAAACAAAAGGAGGAAAAGCAAGACGACTTTTAATTCTTTATTCATTTGTAGTTTTTTTATTTATTTATAAATGATTTATTATTTTGATTTTTTTTAATCCAAAAATATCCTAGTATATTAAAAAGTTGTCAACAAAGACACGCTTTATTCGTGACTTTGTGCTAGATTTAGATATCAAAAATTTGATTTCAAATTCAATTTAGATTCCAGTCAAACTCAATGGATATGTATCTTTCTATATAAGGAAACAATGTGCGCTATACAATTCCCTGTTTAAAATCTCCTTGTGTTTCTGTGGAGAAAAAAAATATTCATTTTAGGTACCTATGCAAGTTTTCCTAATATTAGGATATTAGGGTATTATAAATGATAAAGAGCGAAGACAAAAAAGAAAATTATTTTTTCTGATATAATTTCATAACAAGTAGTTTATTGCTTATCAATATATCTTACATCATCTAAAATATCCTTGTTAACAAGCATGTCAAAATATGTAAATCCGGTTGGTTTTGGTTGAGGACGTAAATTTGTGGGAGCCATTGGTTCTGCGCCAGATGAAGACTTTTCAACAGCCACAGGTATAGGTAAACCATTCTCATCAACCTTTTGATCACTTCCTCCTCGGAATTTTTCAACAGCTCTTCTGAATTTCTCGGCTTCTGCCTCTTCATCAGGTGGTGGACCCCAAAGGGCACCTCCTTTCTTTGGCGGAGGATTTGTTTCCTCTTCATCTTGATTTTGAATTTGATTTTCTGTCTGTTTTGGCTGTTCTGCATTTCTTCCTGCTCGTTGGCGTTGTAATTCTTCTTGAAATGCTTTCGCATTTTCCCTTTCGTCAGGTGGAGGACCCCATAATGCTCCACCACCAGATCTTGGCATATCTTCTTCCTCATCATTATCCATTGGAGATATTCCCATTTCATGGTTGTATCCCCAAAGTGCACCAGCCTGTTTTTCTACGACAATTTCAACTTTTCTCTTTTTAGGAGATATCTTTTCAGGTTGTACTGGTTCTTCAGGTTGAGATGGCTTTAATTCTTGAGGTGGTTCTTCTTTTTGAGCAGATCTGGCTGAATTTCGTTGAGAATCTTTTTTCGTTGCATCTTTTGCTGCTGGTTTTTTCTTTCTGATAATGTTTCTTGCAAATTGACTGTGTGGGTCAAATTTTGTAATAGGTCCTTCGGCACCTGCTACCCAATGTGGACCTTGATTTACTTTCGCGCGTTCTTCATCTATTTGACTTCGAAGCATCTTCATAACTTTTTCCATTTCGTTCACATCGTTTTCCAATTTCTCACTTCTCTTGGGTATTTTCGATTGACGAGGAGGCATCTGTTTAAAATTACTATAAAAAATAAAATTCAATGATGAAAAAATTTGAGCTTCAAAATTTAATAATTTAGAATGTTTCCCATAGTTTACTTTTTTTTTTGAGTGAATGAGAAGGAGATGAAATTTATGATACATGTCCCCTGTCTAGAGAGAAATTCATTATGACAACATTTTTTCTGGTCAATTTATAAGATTCTTCAAAAGATTCATTGAAAAATTGTAATAAATTTTGTCAAATTATTGATTCTTCTACTCAAATTGATATCAAACCAAACTTTTATGTGTATAATTTGGTGATTCGGGCTCATTTATAAAGAAACAATCAAATATTATAAAAATTGAATTAAAATAATTAAGGAAATGAATAGCTTTAACAAATATATTAACATTACTCATATGAATAAACAACAACCTCTTCTTCTTCAATGAAATCTTCTTCCTCCTCTTCTTCTTCGATGTTTTCTTCCTTCTTCTCTTCTTGTGCAACGGAAGAATGTTTCGAGTGGATGCTTGGAGGCAGTGAAGAACCTGAAGATTTCTTTGATGAAACACTTGGAGGCTTTGATGAATTTGTTGACGCAGACTTTGATGATGAAGCTGATTTATCTTCTACTTTGTTATCAGATTTCTTCGTGGAAACAGAGTTTTTATCTGATTTTGTTTGATAATTTGAAACAGTAACATCATTGAATGTTGCAAGATTGGAAATGTCAGGTGTTTGTTGCTTGATAAGGTATTCTTCCTCTAACGAATGAACTGAACCAGGATTTCGAATATTTGGACTGATTTCGGAATCTGGCTGAGCGGCTCTATCAACTCGTTCTGGTAACTCAAGTAATTTATTAATCCTATCTTGGAATGTTAATTTTTGCTTTTGTAATGCAGATTTACGATCGGTTTGCTTAGATGACGATTTATATGAAGATTTTGCAGGTAATGATGATTTATTTTGAGATGATGTATATGAGCGAAGGTCCTGCTGTTGACTGCTTTGAATATCAACAACTCCTCGTGATTTAACTTGAGAATCTGTTTTGTATGATGATTTATCAGTACGCTCTGTACCTACTCTCTGCGATGTTGCTCTGCTCGAGTGATGACCATCACTTCTGTGATGTCTATGGTGATGATGTCCAATAGGCTCTGGATCTTGAGAAATTACAAGATCTTGAGGAGTAGTTACATGTTCTTCAGAATCTTCATGATAATGACGACGGTGGTATGGTGGTGGTGGATCGTTTTTTGTGCATTCTGGTCTGAAATTTTTTACAATTTGTTCAAATTCTCTTTCTGTTGGTGGAAGTTTAAGTGGTATACTAACAGGAAGTTTCTTTGGTTGATGTTGAACATATCCATTTGTTTCTAGAGATAAAGTAAATAACGTTCTTTCCATTTTATTAGAAACAAGAAAATTTGATACCCAATTCGATGCTATTCTATATTCTATACCATCTGGGATTTGCTTTGCAGTTTCTGGATGATTATTAAAATGCCAAGAAGCTTTTGCAGAAATTTGGCACGCAATTGCATTTTTGAACGCATACTGAAAATCTCTAATATTACCCGGATTATTAGTTGCTGATGCCTCTGAATAATAATCAGTTCCAGATGACATAAGAAAACAAATTGAAAAAAAAACTGACAATTTTAACTTATTCGGTTTCTTACATCTCTGAGTTTCTATTGCTCTGCATTTTTACTGAAATTTGGTTATCTTGGGCATCACTATAGAGAAAATTCACACGCATGTGATATTTTTACTGACATCTTATTGATTCATCATAATCCAAAAATGAATTGAACCATTGGCATTATCCATTAATGTTTGCACTAATTTCTATGCTAAGAGGTTTTCTGCAAAGCTCTAGGATTAACTTATTTCTCGAAAATTCTTTCAATTGAATTGAATGTGAGGGAAAAGTGTTCGTTTAAAAATTGTAACTGAATGAGTTTTCTTCCAAAATTGCGAGAAATCGCAAATAATTTTGGAGTTGAACTTAACAGGAGCAAGATTTCATACTTGTTGTCGAAATTTTTTAGTTTGATTCCTCAAAATCTCAATGGAAATGAGCAAACTGAATTATTAGCTCTCAGTTACATATTAAAAGGGGATACGGTAAAATCAGATTCGATATTAAACATTTCTCGTTCTATACCATCAAAATATTCCGATATATTATTAGTATTAGTGTTATTATCGGAAAATAATGAAAGAAAAGCAAATGTATCTCTCAACATTCCTACAATAAAACAGATAGAAAATACAACAGACAAATATCAAGAATATAATACTGATATTACTTTTGAAGATTATATCAAACAACGCTTTGCAGATGTTCAAAATCAGCAACTTACATTACTTTCAACTAGTGAAGCGTCACAAGTTATTGTTATGACATTAACCGGTTTAAAAACAGATTACACAGAAATATTAGATGATCAGATTAAAATCACAACTCAAGTAAGATTTGAACATCATACAGAAGCATCTTCAATTGAATTATTCCGTAAATTTTGTCAAATTGGACAAACACGTTTACAAATTGTAAAAAGTCTTAAACATGATTCGTTTTCATATGAAATTCGACATCATCTTGCTCATTTTGATGCATACATTTCAACTTTAATTGATAATTCGCCAACATCAATTCTCACAAAAATTCGCCCCTTCGGACAAGTTTTCAAATGGATATATCGACTTCTCCAAAAAGAATCATTTGATGATATACATAAGGAACTTCTTCTTAGCTCTCAAACAAGTTTTAAATCAAGTTTATCATTAAATCTTTGGCAAGCTGCATTTGAAGAGACAGCTAGACCACTCTACAACTTTGCATTTACAACAGATGAATTTGAACAGCCAAAAATCTTGTTTACTTTTAAAGATATCAAAGAAGATTGTATTTTTGCTGGAGAACTCCTTAGATTTCTTAGAGATGCTGCACCATCGCATCCTGTTATCGAACTTTCCATTAAATTTGCTGAGGTTTTTCTGAATTTAGAAAACAGATTAAATGAATACGAAAAACGCTGCAACAAAGCAATAGAAAGGAACACAGACCAATGGATACGATTTCATGCACATCAAGAAGAAATCAAGTACAATAAATTTGTTCGCGAACAAAACGCAGCACGTGAAAATTTGAGGCAAGAAAGAATCAGAGAATTAAGTGAAATGAACAGACTGAAAAAAGCAAAACAGGAAGAATATGATAGACTTAGACAAGAAGCTGAAGAGTATAAAGCCAAAAAGAAGGAAGAGGAAAGACAGCAAAAAGAAGAAGAGAAAGCATACATTGAACAAGTAATGTCTGCAAAATCAGCAAATCCTGTAATGAGGCCATTAACTCAACACGAATTAGAACTTGTCGAAAGAGAGAAATTAGATTTGTTTCTTGAGTTCCAGGACCAGATGAGAGAACTTGGAGCAAGTGAAGAACAAATCATGAAGTTCTTCCCTGACATTAATATTCCTGAAGATGAAAATGATGCTTTGAATGTAAATGTCGAAGAAATCGAAGAAGAAGAAGAGGAAGAAAAGAAAATCGTTGAAGAAGAAGAAGAACAAGAAGTTGAACAACAAGCACCAATAAAAATGACACCAGATGTTTCTAATAACTTGATCCAGTTGCAATATACATCTTTTGTTGATGAAATTGATGAATCTGAAACTGATCACCAAGAATTTCATCGTCCTCAAGAGCAACAAAGAGGAAATCAAGAAGAAGATGTTCAAACAACAAATAATGAACAAGAAACAGCTGATAATAACCAAATTTTGGAAAATAATCAAAATGATAATCAAAATATGGATATTGAGGAAGAAGAGGAGGAAGAGGAAGAAGATATGTATGAACTTGCGCCACCTTTGCAAACAATTCCTGCAATTTTCCATAGATTAGTAATTCCATCTTTTAAATTACAACACAAACTTATATCTAAAGCAGTTTTCTCGCTTATAAAAGCAAGAGATTTATTTGTTGATCAACTTACGGCTCTCAGGAAGATTTTTCTCATTCAACCTTCTCCGATGATGGATAAATTCATTGAAGAATTCACTGATATTCCATATCAATTAGGATCGAATGTGAGAATTACAAGAGCTTTCAAACAAGGTTGTGAAAAAGCAGGATTTAAAGGAGCTGTTTCTATTTCTCTTGATGTTAATCAGCCAACAACTGTTCAAGGAATCATTGAACAATTAGATGGAATGATTATAGAGTTGGCTCCTGAAGAGATCTTCCTAAGATTGTTGCCTGATTCCATTATCAAAGAATATGTTGCTACTTTTAGAATGATCATGATGCTTGCCCTCGCTAAAGCTGCAATCAAGAAGCTTTGGAGACTTGATAGAGATTCATATTCTCATCAAAGCGATGCATTTGCTTTTAGATTTATGTCTCATTTTGTCATTGCAACAGAAGCATATCTTTATGGTTCTGCATTAGCAAGAGTTGTTCCTGATTTAGAGAAAGTTTCTTATAATGAAAGCATTGAAGAATATCTGCAAAGCCACAGAAATGTTGTCAAAATTATGTCGATTTATACATTAACTTCCCAAGATATGCTTCCATTTAAAACAAACCTTTGTTCTGCACTTGGAGAAATTATCAGATACGCATATGGTCCACTTCTTGGTGAGTCTGGTATTTCTTCAAATGATTTCTTTAACAATGCACATGTTTTCGCTGAATTAACCAGACAAATGGATGATTCATTTGCTGGTCAAAATGAAACTTACAAATTACTTTATCTTTTGTTTGAAGATTTTCTCAATGAAAATAATTATGTTTAAATGTATTGTATATTTATTCTAATTGACTATAATTCTCTATTTTTGGGCTAAATTTCTCCCAATTAAGCTTAAGAAATACTAATAGCACCTCAAGAACCCATTTGTTCTTACAATCGTGAAAAAAAAAGTAAAACATTATTTTCGAAATTAATTATTCTATTCCTTTAGCTTGTTTTGAAATGGCAAAATCATTTCTATATAATTTATTCAAATGTTGGTCATGTACTCTTTCTAAAATGTGCCATATTTGATGACTTCTTTTTCCGAGTTCGATTTAGATGAAAGAATTATAGCTGGTTTATATGCAAGCAATCACTATAGAGCAACAAAAATTCAAGAGGAAACTATAAGTAACCTTGATAGTAATTCCAATATAATTTTAATGAGTCCTTCAGGCACAGGGAAAACTTGTGCATTTAGCATATCTTTATTGAATCGAATTATAAAAAATTACACCAAGGAAGAAGGAAATATATATATAAAAGAGCAGAATAACTGTCCATTAGCTCTAATAATTGCTCCAACATCAGAATTAGTAAAACAAATTGAGATCGAGTTAAGAAAAATATCAAGAGACTTGCCTATTTTGATATCAAGTGTTGAAGGATCATCGAAACTAGATGATGTCTGGGCAGATCTCAAAACATCACACATCCTAATTATAACACCAGGAATCTTAAACAAATATACTAAATCCAGAAACATAAAGTTCTTCAGAGTTATTTCTATTGTTATAGATGAATGGGACAAATTATTTTCAGACAAATATTTATTTTTGGAAATTGAGAAATTCTTTCAAAAGAAAATGGTTAATCTTCAACAGATTATAGTTTCTTCAGCAACATGTAACCCAGAAGCTTTTCAAAAATTAACAAAGCTTTTCCCATTGGAATGGAAAATCATTTCATCAGATATCCAAGAAAATAATATAAAATCGAGACATTTTCTTAAAAGAATTGGTTCCTTTGAGAAGAGAATCAAATTCACAATCAATTCACTTAGGAAAATCAAATTTCAGCAAGCATTAATATTTTGCAATTTAAGAGAACTTGCTAGTTCATGCAATGATGCTCTAAACGCATGTGGTTTTCCTTCTTTTTATATTAGTTCACAAATTGATCAATCACAAAGAATTGATATTGTCGAAGAATTTCGCGATATGGAATATAGATGTTTAGTTACTACAGACTTAGTTGCACGAGGTTTGGATATTCCAACTGTAAATATTGTCATTAATCTCGACATGGCTCATGATCCCGAAACATTAAAACACAGAGTGGGACGTGTCGGACGGTTTGGGACCGATGGAATGACAATAAGTCTTTTGAAAAGATCTGAATGTCGGCAAATTCCAGAAATTAAAAAAATTACAGGATTGAAATTTGAATCTTATTCTGAAAGTCAGCAATATCATATTGACTTACCACCAATAGGTAATGAAGATAAGCTGCAAAACTTTGAAAAACTTTTAGAATCTCAAGAAAAATGTAAAGATATCGAAGTTGATATAAATCTTAATGAAAAAGGTGAAGAGGAAGAAGAAATACATGATGAAAATGAAGAAATTGGAGATATTGAAAAGCCGTCAAACGAAAAGCAAAATCCAGAGGAAGTTCCTCAAAACAGGCAAATTTGGTTTAGCCCTGAATATTGGGAAAACTATTATCAACAATGTCAAAAGTATCGACCTCCAATATGAGGAATATTTTAAGATCTACTTTCTACTTTCTTTTGTCAAATCACCTTTTTTTGTGACAAAAAAAAGTATTATTTTTGTTCTAAATAAAGAATATAATATATTGTTTTAAGTTCAAGCGGTTGTAATTGACACTTTTATTGATAGATGAGTTTTCGAGCGGAAGGAAAAAACGAATTAATCTCGCTACGTAATCAACTTGATTCAAATGATCCAGCTCAACGCAAAATTGCAGCCAAAAGAGTTGTTGCAATGATGAGAGCTGGCGAAAATCTTTCAATTTTATTTTCTTCAATGTTACGTTGTGTAAAAACAAATGATATCGAATTAAAGAAATTAACATATCATTACTTAGTTACCTATGCAACCAGCGAGCCTGAACAATCTATTATGGCCGTCAATACTTTCATTCAAGACAGCCAAGATTTTAATCCACTCATACGTGCGCTGGCTGTTCGTACTATGTGTAGAATTAAGATCGATACTGTTGCAGAGAACATGATTCTCCCTTTAAAGCAAACTCTTGCTGATAAAGACCCATACGTTCGAAAGACAGCAGCTTTAGCGGTTGCCAAGCTTTACGAAGTCATTCCTGAGCAAGTAGAAACAGCCCAAATCTTTCCAATTTTGATGAAATTATTATCAGACGAAAATCCTTTAGTTGTTTCTAATACAACAATTGCATTATTCGAAATTAACGAGCACAGAACTACTCCTCTCTTCGTTCTCAACGAAAAGACAGTTTCTCCACTGATTGCTGCATTAACTCAATGCAGCGAGTGGGTTCAGACCAATCTTCTTGATTGCCTTTCAAAATACAAACCGCTCGAGGCAAAAGAAGCAGATTTCTTGATTGATAGACTTATTCCGTTTTTAAAGCATTCCAATCCGTCAGTATCCATTGGAGCTTTCAGATGCATCTTCATGTTCATGAATAAGTCCGAAAAACCTGAACAAGAAATCTTTTCAAACATTATTCCTCCATTCATCACAATGTGCTCTTCTGGTGAGCCAGAAATACAGTTTATTGTATTGAGAACTATTTCTCTTTTCGTTAACAAATATCCGAAAGCACTTTCAAAAGAAATCCGCGTTTTCTTCATTAAATACAACGATCCTTCATACATTAAGATGGAAAAGCTCAATATTCTCATTCAGATTGTCTCACCCAAGAATATTACGCTCCTTCTTGACGAATTGGACGAATATTGCAACTCGGTCGATATCGGATTTGTCACAAAGTCGATAGAAATACTTGGCCAGCTTGCCACTAAAATCGAAGCATCCGCTCGTCGGGTTGTTGACATTCTTGTTCGTCAAGTTGAATCAAAGAACGATTTCGCATGCGAACAAGCCATTATCGTCATTACAGATATTCTCAGACGCTTCCCCGGAGAATTTGAGTCCGTTATTACAGTTGTTTTCAAGAATATTGAGAATATTAAAAATTCCAGAGCGAAAGCATCAGCAATTTGGATACTCGGCGAGTATTGCCAGCGCATAGACAATGCATCCGACATATTAGATATGTTTATTGACTCATTCCACGACGAATCTCCCGAAGTTCAGATTGAATTGCTCACAGCTCTTGTTAAAGTATACTGTTTGAAGCCAGACGAGTCCAAGGACCAGCTCCAGTTCGTTCTCAACGAATCCATCAAGGAGAGCGTCCTTCCAGACGTCAGAAACAGAGCTCTCATTTACTGGCGCCTTCTTTCCGCAGATCCAGAAGCTGCAAAGAAGATTATTGTGTTCCCGAAGCATCTCACAGGCCAGAACAGCTCCAAGTTCACTCCACAAGTCCTTGACGAGCTTATTAAGAACATAGGAAATGTTTCTGGTGTTTTACATGTTGCTCCTGTTGATTTCATCAGAAGAGTTCGATACATGCCTGAAGATAATGATGAAGAAGTCGAGAATTACGATGTTTCATGGGATCTCGCCAAATCTCAGGAGAACTTGAACGTTTTCGTGTCTTGGCAATCACAAAAATTCTTTTTGAAAGTTGTAAACAAAAGCCAAGAAAAAATTTCCAATTTCGCACTCGCATTGAATAAGAATCCAATTGGAATAAATCTTGATCAAGACGTAAAGTTCCCTACAGAATTACAATACGGAGAATCATTCGAAGTCCAGATTCCTATCAAAGTTTTGCCTGAAACAGCTGCAAACTTCGAACAAACTGACCTTCAATTTGCTTTGAGAACAAATAGCGGTTTGGTAATGTTCACTTCACCTATCAACATTTATGCAGTTTGCAAACGAGTTGATGGTGTTAACAAGCAGAGTTTCGAGTCATCATGGACAATGGCACCAGGTGAAGATGCAATTTCGATCAAGGGAACAATGGCAGATAATGTTTATCTTGAATCAAAGAATATTTCAGTTGTTTCTAATGAAAACAACGTCATCATGTGTGTTTTGAATTTCGGTAATTGTACATATCTTGTTAAGATGCGTCAGAGTGGTGAAGATGTTCAAATATTAGTCCGTGGTCAGAATAACTTATTCCCTATTATCAGAAACAATGCTCAATCTCTATTTCTTCTTCAATAACAATTATTTATAAATATTTTTAAAAGAAAATAAAAACTCTATTTTTATATATACATAATGATCTCATATTTTGATTGTTTTTTGATTTAAAATGCTATTAACAAAAAACCCTCCGATGTCAAAAACTAAAAATGGCTTAAAAAATCGTGTTCGAAAGAGTACTCCTTTTTGAGCACCTATATTAAATGAGCGGAGTTCATCCATTTTCGGCCTTATTATGATTTTTGATTTAATATTATATACGTGCATGCAAAGCCAAGTCATGACATTATATTTGATCTGCAAAACATCCAAGTTTTGAGTCTCTATTGTCAAAAATTGAGATTGTGTCAGAAAGTGGTTATTGAACCCTAAAAAGTCGTCAATTTTACAAAGTCGAGTTTAAAAATGTAAAAACAGCTAAGCAATTGATAAAAGACAGCGGGATTGTTTAGTTTAGATAATTTCATAAAGGATGACAAGAGATATGAAATATTATTCTCAAATAAATCACAAGATTATTTGCGAAATCTTCAAAGAATTTTTGATTTCCCCAACAATAGATATTATGGTTTAAAATTACTATTATACTATAATCTCTTCAAGAAAACGTCTGAACATCCATTGTTTAATGCATAAAATCCAAGAGTAGGTGCCAAAAGTGCTTACTCTTAAACAACCGTCGGATTTCCGGGTGAAATCGTGACACACTTTCGTCTTTCGTAGGCAGTGGTGGTTGTTACAAAAGGTAACTTCGAATGTAGCGTGAAATCTGCAAAAAAAATTCTGAAATTTGAATGGAGAACACAAAAATTGAATAGTTTACGTCAATAAAAAAGAGAAAAATGAAACCAATGTGTCTCGAACCTAGGACTTAGAGCAGCAAGCCCACTGTTTATCCCATTACATATTACACTACATGCATCTCTCACCTCAGTGAATGAGATCAACTATATGATAACTTTTTCCCCATTATATTCTTGTGGAAAAGTGACAAATAGCAACTTTGACCCTCTCTCAAAAATCCAATTGCCATTTTACAGTCATGTCAAATGAAAAAGATTTTTCTCTACCTCTTTAATAAAGTAATTCTCTGTATAATGCTTAATGTATATTTTATGTTTTTTTCGTGTCGTTTTGATGGCATATTAAATCTCATCCGCTGCTCTCAAATTGAGAGGAAAAAATTGTAATGAATTCAAAAAAATGGGTTTCTTCCGGAAAGAATTACTCTATGTTATAGTCATCATATTCGGATCCATGAACTTTGGTGAAACAATGGCCTATTGGAGCCCAGCTAACAAGCAAATGACAGCAGATCTTCAAATTAGTGATTTTGCAGGAACAGTTTTCAACACACTTCCTGCTTTCATGGGTATCATTACACCATTCTTCATCCACATTCCAATTAACAAGCTTGGCCGTAGACTTACTTCTTGCATTACAGGTATTTCTGCCGTTGTTGGTTGGTTACTTATCCCAATTGCCAACGAAAAGTTATGGATTTTCGCGTTCATTGGTCGTACAATCCTTGGCTTAACAGTTGGTTCATTCTCAACCGTCTGCCCATTGTACATTACAGAGATTTCTCCAACAGAGGTTCGTGGTTCATATGGTATTTTACACCAGTTTGGCGTTGTTATCGGTGCTTGCCTTTGCTACTTGCTTGGTATTTGGATCAATTGGCGCTACCTCGCTTTGATCCTTGCCCTTCAGCCATTCATCCATGTTGTATTCATCTACTGCGTCCCAGAATCACCACACCAAGATCATGAAGAAATTCCAGGATCAAAGAAGGAAAGCTTATTCTCCAAGAAATTCATTAAACCAATCTTGGTTTCATCCCTTCTTATGTTCTTCCAGCAATTCTCTGGCTGCAATGGCTTCCTTTCCAACCTTGAGAAGATTTTCAGCGATGCTGGTTCTTCAATCAGGCCATCTGTTGCCGCTTTCCTTGTCGGACTTTCTGGTCTCGTTGCAACAGGTTTCTCTGCACCACTTGTTGCCTGCATTGGCCACCGTCCAGCCTGGCATATTTCTTCAGTCTGCTGTGCCTTGGCTCTTCTCATCGCCGCTCTCAACTACTGGTTTAACTGGTCTAAAGTCATCCCAGCCATCATGATGATTTTGGATAATCTCATGTTTGGATTTGGCCTTGGTCCAATTCCATGGGTTATCACTCCAGAACTCTTCCCAGACTCTGTCAGACCAGTTGCAACATCAATCATGACAACACTTAACTGGACATTCGCTGCAATCGTTATGATGATTTGGCCACCAATGTCAAAGTACCTCAAGTTTGGTGTTTCAATGGCTATCTATGCAGGCATCTGCTTTGCAGCCTTTGGCTGGGGCATTTTCATGCTCCCAGATACACATGGAAAGGAAATGGGCGCAATCTTTGAAGAAAAGGCAGAGCCACTCCTTTCTAACAACTAATACTAAAACCTAAATTCTTTTGCATTAATTATAACATTAATTTGATATTTATCGAACAAAAATCAGCAATAAATTGGTTAATGGAAAGATATTGTATGCAAAATATGGGTTTGTAGTGATGAAAATCATTTACTGACCATCCAAATTCATTAGAATATTAATTCAAATTAAATTTTGCAATTTTCAATTATTTCATGAATAGAAAACAAAAAGTCACTCTGAGACTATCAGAGTTTTTAGTTCCGAAGAATGGAATTCCAATTGGAATGTAATCTTCTTTTATGACCAGCAAAAAGAAATGATTTACCGATTTTGGTGATTGGCATATAATACACGCCAACGTGGTAATTAATGAATGAAGTGTGCTGCAGTGTTCGCTATATTTTTCATGTTGATTGTTTTCAAATTTTTCTATAAAAAAAATTGAATGCAACGGCATTTTTTCATATTATGAAAATAACAATCTCTGTTCTAGATATAGGTAATCCACAATCAGGAAAAGCTGGTCTTGCATTGCATTACGCAAGAGGTACATATAATGAAAATGACCAAGTTCCGCCTGACGGAAAACTTAACAGGCAAGTTACCTTTGACGGTAATTACGTTGATATGGAGATATACGATCCTCCAGGTCAGAATGACTTTTCTGATGCATAAACGAGACTTATTCAACAATGCGATGGCTTTTTCCTAGTTTTCCGTGTTGATAACAAAGAGAGTTTCGAATACTTGCAAGAAGTCTATAATGAAATTGTCCGTGTCAAAGGCCCAAAGACACCTGTTGTAATTGTTGGAAATTACTGTGATTTACCCCAACCACATGTAGTTCCATATCAATATGCCCAGGAACAATCTGCTAGACTTTTTAACAATGCACCTGTTTATGGAGTTTGCCATAGTAATCCAAATACCATTATTCAAGCTTACGAAACCCTCGCTCGTCGTGTTTTCAAGAAACATCATAAGGATGAGTCCTCTTCTTCTTCATCATCATCAAAGAAGAAGAAGAAACCACAACAGCCAGAAGCTGGATGCTGCCGTATTGTATAAAGAAAAATAATTTTTTTTATTGATATCAATTTCACAACTTCTTGTGATAAGTATAGCCGTCACTCAAATTTTTATATTAAATATGCATATCTTAAACAATTTTGTTAGAAAATTTTTCATGTTTGATCATCCAAAAATGAACATAAGTACCAATGCTGAGAAACATAAACCATTGTAAGTTGATGAGCTGTGTGCAGCTTGAGACAGAAGATATAGAAAGTTTATATATCAAATTTAGTGCTAATAGTTAATAATATAAATTAAAAATTCCTTGCAATGCATGGTAAAACTCCACTGGTGTAAATGGAGTATATTATAAATAGTTATCCTCATTTGAAAAAAAAATATTAAGATTGAATGAAAAAAAAATATTTAATGGAACGAAAGACCAATTGCCGACATAAAATATACCCTTTTCTTTTTCTCAATCCCTTAATGTAATATATTAAATAACAAACATTTTTTTTACATTAAAAAAAAACAAAATTCAATAGTATTACTCTGTTCCTTTGTCCTCTGGTTCACTTACTAATGTTGAACCTTGTATTATTTGATTGATTTCGTTAACTCTATTCATCAAATTTGATCTTTGTCTGAAGAAAGCCTCTTTTTCGCCGGGATTAAGTTTGATTACGTACTTTCCAAGGTGCCTCATCTTATCCCTTTGCTCCATCATGTTCCTTTCGATGAGATCTTTTCGGCCACCCCAGTTTCCGCTCAAATACTTAATACAGTGGAGGCCAGAAAACCTCCTCGTTGCGGCCAAGGCATTCAAAATTCCGAAAATAAGAGCTAATCCCATACCTTTCGCAGTAAACTTCGCGTAGCCGTTAATAACGTCATGTTCGCCAATGGACATGCCACAGACTTTAAGAGTTTCCTCCGAAAAGAAACAGAAATTGTTCGGTAATACGATAAAATCTGCACATTTCGGATACATCTTCAAAATTGAAGGAATCTTCTCCTCAATGTCCGTAGATGGCGCGAAACTGAAAATTCCGGTAATAATTTTGCCTTTTAGAGGATCTTCGACAATATGACCGTCAGCAAGCTGCAAAGTAGCATGGGAAGGCATCAGAGCCTTTACTGGCCTCATTTGGCTCAAGGCTTTCTTTAAAGATTCTTGAGTTAGCGTTGTTTTAACCTCAATTACGCCTAAAACAGAATCTGCTGGGACAGGAGAGATAACTGTATCGGTTCCATCAATAGTAAATCTCGGGCAGGCATCGTTAACGATGATTACGTCGAGTTGGCCGGTTTGATTCATCGAACAATCAATAATTTCGCCGGTAGTGACTCGAAAGCCAGTAGGAAGGTGGGATCGTAAAAATAGTCGGACAAATGCCTCTCTGTTTGCGCTATCGTTGTTGAGAACAAACAATTCTTTTTCTGATGCTTGAGATAAGGCCATAATGATATCAACCTGGGCCTCAAAGTGGTCTTTGAGAGGTGGAGATAGTTGGTTGTTGAAGAATTTGTTGATGTATTTACGTAATGAGTCATTTATGAAATTAAGTTCGAGGGAAGTGTATAAAATTGTTTTCTTGTTATCAATATTCGGAATAGATTGATTAATTGTTACTAATATGACGTCTGCGTTGCTGCTATTGATTGTATTTACGATTGAGTTCAAACTTTCATCTGTTTGCATATTTAATGGGTATAATGGTGACGTAGATCTTTGTATTTGTATTGCGCCGTATTTGCTAGCAATTTGTGGTCCGTTTTCGACATTTTCAGGATCAATAACTAAAACTGATCGATTTGCCATTTCTTGAGCATGAGGATCATCAATGACTGCTTGCGATAATGCATACATAACAGTATGCTCTTTGAGAATGTTATCAATTGAAATTTTCACTTGTCTTGGCAGTTCTTTCGATCCTCTCTCAAGAACAATAATATTTTCACTGACCATGACGTTAACTATGCCTGGCCAAAGAGATTTCGAACGAACATTATCAAGAGTTTCGGCTGAAACAACACAAAATTCTGCATCAGCGTTAATATAAGGAATTTCGCATGCGCTCGCATCGAAAACAATAATATTTGCACATTGCTCGGCGCATATTACGGATTTTCTGTAATCTGCTGTAACAAAAATTTTATATGCGCCACAAGCTTGGTAATTCTTAATTTGAGTCTCTTCTTCTGGTGTAAATAAGCCTGGTTCGATCACATCATCTTGATTAAACTCGTAATGAGGTGATTTTTCGATGTAAAATACATCATCTTTGACTTGGAATCGATGTAATGGGTAAATGATAGCAACTCTGTCATAATTTTTCTTTAGTAATGAGCAGAAGTATAAGCCAACTTGCGTTTTGCCTAATTTTGGTGCAAGAGAAGTTAAAGTAATTACAGGTTTAAAAGATTTAACTACAAGAGATGCTTTCGGTAAGAACTCAAATCCACATGTACCGGTTGAAAGAATTCTGTTGATAAGAGACTGAACAACTGGCATTGGAATATTTTGCGCTTGAATGACGCAAGTTTGGATTCTTTTTTCAACAATAGTTCGTTCTAAACTCCTTAGAGAATATATTGAGTGAGGATGTTTGTAGATTCCTTTAAAATGTCGAATCGGAGGTTCACCATCTTCGCAATAGACAAATCCAACAACTTCGCGATCTTGTGCTTGAGCAAAATATCTCCAATAAATGTGAAATGTTGAAAAATCACATCCCAATATCAAAGTTCGAGTTCTAGGTGATTGAGTTGCCATAAATTTGACAAAAAAATACTGAAAAATACAGTAAAAAAAAGAATTCAGAATAAAGGGTATTTATTTACTGAAACTTGTTGGGGAATAACTTTTTAGTGATCTGCTGCTAAGGCCTCCAGCAAAGAAATAGCAGATTAAATAGTAGTTAAATGGAAATTATCTGCATTATTGTGATATCATGACAAAAGTATCCCCTTAATGTATTTGTTATATTATAACAGTTGAAGAGCGATCATTTAGATAATTCTTATATGATATAAATCGAATAATTCCATAATTATTTATTATTTGAGTTTATAGAATAAAAAAATGATTCTGCGCAGGAATAAAATGAGTAATTATGATTCGGAAAATAATACCAAAACTGATTTGGATCTTCATCAAGTTTAAATGGTGTGAAAAAGTGTCATTATAATAAAATAAACAAAAAAAATATTAAGGGTGCACCCGTATGTACGTTTATTTGAGAGGAGGAGGATTACCCTCTCAATTTTGAGGGATTCGTTAGTTTATTTTCTCGATGAATATGCAATAAAATTTGATTTTTACCTTATCAATATACTTCATATAATATACACATGTTCATGTAAAAACTTTTTCCCAAAATCCTCAGGAATTAAGGGATTTTTGAATTTTAAGAATTTTTTTCGAATTTTTTCGAAAAAAAAATATTTTCAGAACAGCCTTAACGGCTAAGATTTAGGAACAATGTTAAGTATCAAAAAGAAAGGAGGTCTGATATAGACAACATATATCGTTGAAGGTTGAAAAAATCTCTAATATTTGAGCCCAAAATTTCAAATTTTAATTTTTTGAAAAAAGAGGCCACCCGTATGTACGTTTATTTGAGAGGAGGAGGATTATATTTTTGAAAGGGTGAAACATTATGAATATGTTAATTATATAATAATATGTATTATTATAAAAAAGAAAAAATAAAGCACGTTAAAATTTTTCTTTCTTGATTTTTTACAAAATCTACTTAGAATTATGCAAAATATGACTAAATAATTATAAATTTCAAGTTAAATTTTAATTTTGATAAATAATTAAATTTCAAAATATCAAGTTCAGTTCGACTATGTATGTAGTAATTCCTCAATAAAGTGCCAAAACCCTATTAAAATATATGAACATTTTCAACATTTTAATGTTTTATTTAAAAATTTGATGGAATATGAGCTTCAAACAATTATTATGTAAATAAAAATAATTAAATATATGTATTTATTCGTATTACAACCGTAGTAAGTCGATTCTTCCTTTCTTCTACTGAGGTTTGAATTTGATTTCGAATTGTAAAGAGATTCAAAGGGAAAATACTAGCGGATAAAAACTACCTCCATGAAAGGGTCATAATGGAGTCAAGTTGTATTTTTTGATATTTTTTGCTTTTCGAGCCTAAATAGGTAGCCAAGATAATGCCTAAAATAAGGTTCTAAATTCTGAAGTTTACATGATCCTCTTGTGTGCACCCTTAATTCCACAAAATAGTATCGATACTTTCTTGATTTTGGTAATGGATTCCGACTATTTAGGTATTCGATGACTAATGGACGAAGAATGGAAGAAAAGAGCAATTTCGAGATAAAATTATTAAAAGATATATTAGACTGTTTGATCTGCAAATAAACATATTTGTACTGTTAATCGGTTTTACAGAATAGATCTTGTGTTATTGTAAGTTTTGAAAAAAAATCGAGAATTTTTCCTAAGATACTCATTTTACGAGATAAAATGATATACCATCTACTAGATATTTGTGAGTTATTTCCCTTATTTGACAAGTAACTACAGAAATTGTAGTTTCAGGAAATTTGAAAATGTTTGGTATTGTCATATTCAACGTTTTCAATTTCAATATACTATAATAATATAAATATAAATTCATGCAATCTGTCCTTAGATATGCTATCTAAACCTTAGATAGATATTCAATTTCATCATAAAGAATGAGAAAATTTCAAATTGTGAAATAAGACAAACATATTCATATATGAGATAATAACCAACTATATTAGGTTTCTCAATTCTTCATTTAAAATTCCAAAAAAAATTCAAAATTTCAAAAATCCAAAGAAGAAATAAAAATTTTATATGCAAATTTGCAAAATAAAAAAATTTTGGAATTATAAACATTATTTATTTTTGGTGTTTGTTCCAAGATTTATCTTTTTCCCCTTATTGGATTTGAATATTTTAGATTATTAGTTTAATTAATTTTGACTGGTATATTTCATGATGTCCACATCACAACATATTCTGAAAAATGAACCAGAATATATTTATTTAAAAAAGAGAAAAGGTATTAATAAAGATTTTTAATTGAGCTTATTTAAAAGGTTTTACTTCAAGAACTTTATATAGTTTACTTTTTTAAGTAACGTAATAACAACATCTTCAAGTTTATTTTCAATCCTTACGAATGTTTTGATGGGATGAGCTTACTGATAATTGGCTCATCCCATCAAAACATTCCTTAAAAACTCTGGCCTCGATGAAGGCCAGATTTCGCAATTTATCTCCTCAGAGCCCAGTTCCTCGACGATCGTCCTCATTAGGCTCGATCCGAGAGGAACTTGGCTCTGAATGAAAATCACAAGCTCTGGCCTCAGGAAAAGCCAGAGCTTCGCTAACCATCCTCGGGGCCGGGGTCCTCTAAGACCACCCTGATTTGGGGCGGCCGGAGAGGAACCCAGTCCCGAGAGAGCGTCCATAAGAAGCTCTGGCCTTTTCTGAGACCAGATCCCTCAAATACAATCCCCAGGGCCGAGTTTGAGGGAGATCATCTACATCATTGATGATCTCCTCTCGTCTCGGCCCTGAAAGACCTACAGACACAGGATCTGGCCTCAGCAAAGGCCAGAGCTTCTTTTTAAATCACCAGGGCCGGTTTTCCAAAATGCTTCTCTGATTCGGCCCTGGTAAGCTTACAGTATGAAGCTCTGGCCCTTATTCAGGCCAGAGTCTGCACATTTAATCCTCAGGGTCGAGTTTGAGGGAGATCATCCACATCATTGGCGATCTCCGCTCATCTCGGCCCTGAAAGACCTACAGATACAGGATCTGGCCTGAGCAAAGGCAAGTGCCTCGCTTACAGACTACATTTGCCGTTTTCAGGAGATCTTCCAAATCACGGACGGTTCTCGCTGAGATTCTGGAAAAACATCTAAATTACTACTCTAGAAAGACTAGAAGGGGGCCCTAACCTTGAGAAAGGACCCCCTTCCCGGTCTTTCTGGAGAACTTTGTTTCGCATTGCGAGTGTCTGCTGCGAATCTGGGGCAGAGCAGCAGACACTCGCAATTATATGTCGCGGCAAGTGCACCTGTGGTGCCAGAATGCACTTGCCGCGACATTTGCGAAATGCGAAGATGATTCCGGAAGGAATGGCAATACTGGCAAAGGCCACTCCTTCCGGCACCAGAAAGACTAGAAGGGGGCCCTAACCTTGAGAAAGGACCCCCTTCCCGGTCTTTCTGGAGAACTTTGGTTTGCATTGCTAGTGTCTGCTGCTTCTTTTGACAGAAGCAGCAGGCACTCGCAATTGTATGCCACAGCAAGTGCACCTGTGGTGCTAGAATGCACTTGCCGTGACTTTCGAGAAATGCAATGATGATTCCGGAAGGAATGGCAATACTGCCAAAAGCCAATCCTTCCGGCACCAGAAAGACTAGAAGGGGGCCCTAACCTTGAGAAAGGATCCCCTTTCCGGTCTTTCTGGTCGTAATACACATCATTACTTTCTCATTCTTTATTCTCTTTTCAAAAGCACACTATATGTTGTAAACAGAAATTCATCAAAAGTGACACCTCAGAAAAGCTAAAATATTGAATTTTTGGAACTTTTGATAGAGCACGTTTTTAAATATTAATTAAAGTAAATGTATATTTTGTAAAGATTCTTTTTAATAAAAAAATAAAATTTTGAAGAAGAACACAAAATCTTCTGAAAAATAATATCACATAAACTCATATTATTTTCTAATATATAACTATTTTATATAAAAATCAAATTCAATGATCTTAAAAGCGAAGGATAAACCTCAAAATTTACGAATATAATGAGTGGGAATATAATGCTTATCTATCATAAAACCATATGAAATATTCCCACTCATTATATTCGTAAATTTTGAGGTTTATCCTTCGCTTTTAAGATCATTGAATTTGATTTTTATATAAAATAGTTATATATTAGAAAATAATATGAGTTTATGTGATATTCTTTTTCAGAAGATTTCATTCTATATGCCTATGAAAAGTACTCTCAAAACTAACTTTTTCCTAATTATAATTAAATCTAGAATATTGTATTATGCTTAGTATTATTTCATTTTTCTCATTCAATTTAGAATTTACAAATGTCAAAAAATTGAGAGCTGTCACTTTTGATGAATTTCTGTTTATTACACTATATTAAACTTCAGCCCATATACTTCTGCATTACAGAGAGACAAAATTTATAAATATAATATTTCTGACGGTTAATTCCGTTATTATTAATCATTATAACTCATATTCTCAGCAGATGCATAAGATAAGAGATTAGAATCATAACCGCCCGTCGGAGCAACATCTCACTACATATAGTTCAGTTCAAATTTTATGAAAATCATTTCGAAAACAACAATTTACATCCAAATCAAGGAATAACGTGTTCCTTGTATTTGGATAACAATCCGCCCGTCGGGACTGGACTATTGTAGATGAATGTTGCATGATTTATTTATATCATTTAAGATCTCCAAAAAAAAAAAATTTAATTCGGAAAAAAACATCTAATCTCTATGGAAAATCATGACCGCCCGTCGGAACAACATCTCACTACATATAGTTCAGCTCAAATTTTATGAAAATCATTTCGAAAACAACAATTTACATCCAAATCAAGGAATAACGTGTTCCTTGCATTTGGATAACAATCCGCCCGTCGGGACTGGACTATTGTAGACGAATGTTGTATTATATATTTTAATTTTATAAAATTTCTACTTAGCAACTGCCTGTCGGAGTTTCATCTCATAGTACATAGCTCAGTTCAGAAATTTGTAATCATACCTATTTACAACCGCCCGTCGGTGCTGGGCTATGAGAACTTTGAGATTTTAATTTTATTACAGAGGCCTCGGGCTCTCCTACTTCTTATTTCTCTTCCTGACTAGTTTCCTCCCGAGGCCTCTGAAAAAAAAGGAAGAGTAAGAGAAGCAGGGGAGAGTATCAATGTTTCATTGGTGTCAGAAAACCTTAGATAGTATACAATTTTGAATTCCTTTAAGTTGATTAGCAATTTCACAAAAATATATTAAACCGTTTTTATAAAACGGTTTAATCGTCTTCAACACAATAATTTAGTACTTTTTAAGGGTGCATTCACGCCCGTAGGGCATAATCTTCAATTCTACTCTTTAATGTTATTTTCCAATTATCCTTCACGACAGTTGTCAGAATTTTGAATTAGAGTCAGACGGGTGTAAATGTACCCTTAAAAATTTATTTAAACTTGAAATCATATGCTTCGCGTATAAACCTTTCAATTCGCTCGAATTTTGAGCGACAGACGCGAAGAATATGATTTCAAGTTTATTTTCAAAATAAAAATTTTTAATTTCTGTCTCAATATTTATTTTAAAGATTAGTATTATATTTATCTTGTGTTGAAATAGTCTATGCAATTGCTTGAATAAAGGTAAACATCTGCAAAATCTTTCAGTGATTGGAATCTATCAAAATTACTCAATGTTCAACGAATATTTTGCCAAAATTCCAAAAGGTTTTGATGGTGTTATCAATGCATTCTTAAAAAATCTCATCCATATTGGCAAAAAGATTCAAACAAATGATCCGTTATGCTATTTAACATCCCCAGAATTAGGAATATGTCACTAGTTCCCGCAACATATTCAAACACTTAATAACATGGATATGTTGGAAAATTACCAAAAATGGGAAAATCTTTTTAAAATGGATGAAATCGGTTTAGAATATATATCTAAGCACCGATAAAGTTTTGTTAACATGTATAATTATTGATGACTCAATAAAAGTCGCACGTGCCTAAAAAAAAATAGTCAAAACTTTATTTCATTTCAAAGTCGTTACGATTATTTATTAGTTTTTTTTAAAAAAACTAAATTTTGCTTCTAATAGTTCTTAGCTATTCAATCGACTTTTTTGTTCCTATGAATTGAGGTAAATTTAAAAAAGTGACAAAAAATTTTTAATGACAGCAGAAACCTTATCAGGATTTTTTAATAGTAACCCAGACTTTGAAAGAGTCATACTGGATTTACATCAGATTTTCAGACAATTGGTCATGATATATCTAAATGATCCTAGAAGTTACTCGTATCATCCGGATTATATTCAGATCAACGATCTTAATGAAGTAATTGCACCCCTTCCACGTCTATCCAACCTTGAAAAGAACAAATGGGTAAGTTTACCGGATCTTTTAGATAGTTCTTTTGATAGAACTTATACGAGTATCCATGATTTTTCATTTTTATTGAAATGTTATCTACTAGACCCGATAAACCATGACAAAGAACTTGTAATTTCCAAATACAAAGAGACATTCGTTCCAAGGGGTTTCAAAGTTCTCGGATATGGAGCTCATAGTGTCGTTTTACATTCCGATGAATTCTTCTCTTCACACATATTTAAATTCTCAAAACTAGATCTTTCCGTGGAAAATAAGATCAAAGAAATACTGGGGATTCTAATTTATTATCCAAATTTGGCCGTGCCTAATAAATACTTTACCAGCAGCCCTTTGTATCGAAAAGGAACATTAACAGCCTATATACAAAACAATCCTAATCTCACACACCTAGAATTACTCGAAAAATTTTATCAAATTTGTTTAGACGTACGAAACATTCACAACCACAACATTATACTAAGAGATATAAAGCCAGACAACATTCTCCTCGACGAGTTTGATAAACCTCACTACGCAGATTTTGATGTTTCAGTGTTTGACACCGACAAAGCATATGATGTCACCGGAACTAGGTTTTACATGGCTCCAGAAGTTGAGCAGAACCTTTTCAAATTGAAATACGTTGGTTACGGTGTTAAATCAGACATCTTTTCACTTGGATGCGTTCTCAACTACATGTTCAATCACAATTATCCATATTCTATATATACACCTCTTATTCCAAAAAAAGTCATTTATCTGATTGATTTCATGAGAAATCTATAGATGAATTAATTTCATTGACCTTAGGAACTATGAAATATTATAGATCAAATCCTGTCAATGAAGGACACTTTGGATTAATGAATTATGTACCTAGACCTGATAACAAAATAAATCCAAAGCAAAATAGTGATTATGGAGAAAATTGTTTCAAGAAACATGCGGACAATCATAAAAATGCTCATAATCCAGGAAACAATCAAAATTCAAATAAATGACCCCCACCACAAAATGGATTTTCATCAACTAGTTTGAAAAACAAAAACTAACTTTTTTGAGAGCTATTTTGAAAGAAAAACTCATAATAACTCAAATGATATAAGAAATTAAAACTTCATTTGCTAATAAACATAAATCTTTTGAAATTAAAAGAATTTTTTTTCGAATTCAATAAATATTTATTCCGAAATTGTTTTAGAAGCACTTGCGGTGGACGATGGATGGGCCAGCCTCGTCGTATTCCTCCTTGGTGATAACCATCTGTGGGAATGTAGCGAGGGAAGCAAGGATGGAGCCACCGACCCAAACGGCGTACTTACGCTCTTCTGGGGCGACGATCTTGACCTTCATTGTTGGTGGAGCAAGAGCTGTGATTTCCTTGTCAAGACGTTCGGCGATGCCCTGGAACATTGTTGTGCCACCAGAAAGAACGATGTTAGCGTAGAGATCCTTACGAACATCGATATCGCACTTCATGATGGAGTCGAAGAGTGTCTTGTCGATACCATCGTATTCCATACCATCGAAGTATGGCTTGAAGAGCATTTCTGGGCAGCGGAAGCGCTCATTGCCGATTGTGATGACGTTGCCATCTGGAAGTGTGTAGTTGACGTTGATGGAGGAGTCTGTAGCGGCCTTCTCCATTTCAGCATCGAAGTCGAGGGCGACATAGCAAAGCTTCTCCTTGATGTCACGAACGATTTCCTTTTCGGCTGTTGTGTTGAAAGCATTGCCACGCTCTGTGAGAAGCTTGACCATCCAGGCTGTGAGATCACGGCCAGCGAGGTTAAGTCTCATGATGGCGTGTGGAAGGGAGTAGCCTTCGTAAATTGGAACTGTGTGGGAAACACCATCACCAGCATCGAAAACGATACCTGTTGTACGGCCAGAGGAGTAGAGAGAAAGAACGGCCTGGATGCCGACATAGAAGGATGGGACGTTGAATGTGTCGAACATGAGGGAGATCATTTTCTCACGGTTAGCCTTTGGGTTGAGTGGGGCTTCTGTAAGAAGAACTGGGTGCTCTGTTGGGTCAACACGAAGTTCATTGTAGAATGTGTGGTGCCAGATCTTTTCCATATCATCCCAGTTGTTGACGATACCGTGTTCAATTGGGTACTTGAGGATGAGGACACCAGCCTTGGAGCAAGCTTCATCACCAACGAAAACATCCTTGGCATTGCCACCAACTAATTGTTGTTTGTACTTTGGACGGCCGACAACGGATGGGAAAACTGAGCGTGGGGCTTCATCACCAGAAAAGCCAGCCTTGCACATACCAGAGCCGTTATCGATAACAAGAGTCTGAACGTCTTCTTCAGCCATTAGAAGAGAATGTGAAGTGAAAGAAAAAGTGTTTCTTATGACCTGTAAAGTTCTCAAATTAATTCATATAAAAAACGGTTTGAAACAAGTGAAGTCGTTTTTGAGCATTGATAATTTGTTCTGTCCGGGACATTCTGTGGAGTCTATCTGTTTCGAAATAATTATATAAAATCTATCTGTTTAATACACTATTTCAAATAGTTTCGAACAAGTTTCTGCAAATATTCAAACAAAATTGAATTTAATTTTAAAGGTTGTGGTTAATAGATAAATGATCTCTATCATGATTGTAAAGCAAATTTTTATTGCGAATCAGCAATTGCTATTCATTGAAAATTTTATTCAAACTAATTTTTATCATTCGCAGAAATTATGTTGCTAAGAAATTTTCTATAGCAATCATATTTTATGTATTGATTTTCACACTGAGAAAATGTTTTAAAAAAATTTCAATTCTCTTCAATTTGCAGTTTCTATATATATTAGCTAGACTGGGAAGATTTACTCATAATTATCTGGTAGATTTGATATACTTTGTTCTCATAACAGTAAGAAATTATGGTTTTGCAGCTGATGACCTCACGTGGCGTATAAATTGAATGGTTTAAGTCATTATGCCATGTGACGCCATCAGGTGATTAGACAAGAAATTAATCCAAAGCATATTTTCAATCAATATTTTATTTTATTATTATAATTTGGATAACCCTCATATAATCGAAATAATAAAGGTATTGACATTACTTGATCAGAATAACTTGTTCCCTAATATCATAAACAATGGTTAATTACTAGTCCTTCTGCAGTAACATTTTTATCAAATCTAAAAGATAATCTTTAAAAAAAAACTTAAGACTAACTTTGAAAGGATTTTCCCTTCAATATTGGAATTTTTTTTTTCAAAAAGACAACGAAAATCTTTAGCTTTGTTTGTTGCCATGATGTATGCTGTATTTCCATTATTATTCTTTGCTTCTTTATCAACTCCAACAGAGATAAGATAGTTAACAACTTCAAGTTTACTATATTGTGATGCTTTGATGAGTGGAGTATACCCATCATTATTTTTTTCCCCTATATGTTAATGATTATCTTTTAGATTAGATAATGTTGTTAGAAATGGTTAATCTATCCCTTTTAAATAAGAATTACTTCAATGATAGGTTGAAATCTCGCAATGAAATCAAATTTGATTCTTGATAACATTAAGAGCTTTTTGAATTGATTGAGCATGTATCACCATATGATATATTAATTACTACTACTTATTTGAATAATAAGCGTATTAAATTTCTCATATAAAAATTTATTTTGAAAAATGAGAGTTGATGTTTATGCTAAGGTAGTCACAAAATCTAAGTAGAAGGGCTTTGAAATATTGAGGAGATTTGGAATTTTGGCTCTCAAAATTTACCCTTCCTCACGACTCGAATTCTGAGCCTCTCAATGAGTTTCCTCTCAATTTGTTATTGACTTTTGAATACCTTTATTGAGAACAAAAAAAAATAAATATATTAAGATTCGTATAATATTAGCATTTTTCATAAAATGAAGGCCTGAAAAACGGGGCCATTCAAAAAATGAATTGTTTTGGGGAGTAGTGGATCTAGCATCTGTGTAACAAATAATAAAGATTGGCCGTAAAAATTAGGCCTAATCTCTTTTGGGTTAAATTTTGTAAATTGATATCTCTTCACATTCGTCTGTAGTGAGGTATAGATAACAAGATGATGGAATAAATGTTTTTGACATATTCACTTTTCACAATAATAGCCGAAATTAAGTAATTTGTTGCTAATTTTTTGTTTTTTACCTTGTTTTTAGGCGTACCACTACTTATTCATCTTTGTATCATTTTTGTGGAGCTCGTATTGAAAAACAATCAATGAAATCCATGTTTTCATTTGAAATCTGATAAAGTTAAACGTGCATATAAATTTCTCACTGATATCACTCAACTGCAAATTAACATATATGCAATTCAATAAAATTAGAAAAATTTCGGATTGTCCAAAATGAAAAATATAATTTTTTTTCTCTAGCCAATAAATCAATGTCTTATATTGCATTCATTGTTCAATAAGTAGTTACACATAATATTAGCATATAACACTCTTGCTGTTTACAGATACAAATTTTGATACAATTAATTTGTTTAAAGCTATTATGTTTATAGAGATCTCTTATATAACATGTTGTATAAGGTATCGATATTACTATTATTGTATTTAATGCACCTTTTTTCAACATATATATATAATAAATTAATACCCAGATTTGCCTTACTTTTACCACCTCTCTAAAGCTGGGGACACCGCCTATCGTTGGGAGTAGCTATTAAATAGAACCACCAAGGGTATTTTTCGAACTGCCGGTGTAGTTTAGTGGAAACATCCGACATGATGATTCATTATGCCAACGTTTTATTCCCATTTAGCTAATTTTTTTCTTTTTTGGATCATGAATTTTTTTGGGGTCACTATAAGATTTGTTTCATGTTCTAAATCTGCTGCATATGTAATCTATTTTTATTTACCTATTTTTTAAAAATCTATTGGATTGCCAAATTTGAATATATTTAAAATCATAAAAATCCAAAAAAACTATAAATATATGTTTTATGCATAGTGCTGATACTCAAATATCAGATTACTTAGATCCATGAATAATATCCGAATTTTTTTTCTTAAAATTAAACTTCAAAACTTCTTGCAATCTTATTCTTAATCAATTGTAAATTTTTAAAACCATTTTTTAAAATAATTTTGCGTAAATTTTATTCTCATGTTGTTTTAATCGAAAATTGATACATTTTCAAAAAAATAATATTGACTTATGAAATTCATTTTTAAGGTGAAATAGTATTGTTTTTATTAAAGTATATGAATAATATATAAAAAATTAATGAATAATATAAGCAGATTTTTAGTTTACAAAACAAATATGAGCAATGCAATTTCAAACTTTTGCTGGCAATTTCGATATTGCTCAAGTTTGTAGTATTTGTGATACCTATAACATCGGCTTAATCAAATTCGATTTTTCTTATGAGTTATTGAGAAAATTTGATTGCAATGAGAAGGATTTCGACGTTTTTGATAAACTAAGAGCTGAGCTTTAGGGTTCAGTTCATTTATGGCTGTAGTTTGATGTCGTAGATCTCTTTTTTATTGTAAATTCTTTCAGCATGGAGATCGAGAATGAATCTTTTGAGAACTTTATGAGTTTTTACACCCGTAAAGAGGTCCTTCGAGGAAAGATAGTCCAGACTACATGAAGATGTGGGTTAACCAAAAAAATCCGATGGTTTCCCCATATTCATGTAGATCTTCGAAAAAATGAGCACCAAAAAAGCCAAAAAAATAGGCTTTTTATTGGATTTGTACACTAGATCAATAACCTATTTAGGATCTGACACTCTTTTTAGCCAGAGATATGAGGTCCTTTCTAGGAAAACG